TGAGGTGCGAAGGCTTTGTTTGCCCTCTAAGAGCCCGAACTTCGAATTCACTGAAGGAAGAACCTGATTTTCAGGGTTCAGGGTTTAGGTTACCCAGGACCCCGAACACCAAAGTGAGCCCCACGTGCCTCCGCACAAGTGCTGCAAAGATCCGAGCGAATGTGCTGCGCAGCCATTCAACTGGGGCCGCCTTCATATGCGGCGCTTGTCTCGGGAACTGTGGGCCAAACTATGACTGTTTGGGTGTTGCCCGACACTTGTTTCGGTGTTGTCTAAGTGTTGGTTTGGGGTCTCGGCGGCAAGGCCCAGGGGAGGTTCCGAAGTTATACACGTGTCTACTGAGTCACGGAGTGGCCGGCGGGTCCGATCCTTTGAAGATGCGCCCAGCGCATTGACCGCCGCGCACTCCCCATGATTGATTCTGCACGACAGCCGGGGAGTTGATGGACCCAGGCCGTACATGGGTTAAATTTAGGGTTTAGGGTTTAGGGTTTTCAAAAAAGGGTTATAGGGTTTAGGGTTTAGGGTTTTCAAAATAGGGTTTAGGGGATAGGGTTTAGGGTTTCGGGTTTCAACAGAAGGTACAGAGCCTGCTGAAACCCCTCCACCTTGCTTGTGGAGCTCTTCTGGGGTTGACTGGTTGGTGTGTGTTTGGGTTCTGCTGGTCACAGCAGGCTCTTCACCCAAACCCTAAACAAATCCGCGGAGCTTGAGCCCAACCCTGCAGAAGTACAGAGCCCGAAAGCCACCTTTTAGCGACCCAAAGCCTTAAAAGCAGAAGCAACCCTAAAGCCTCTAAAGCCCCAAAAAAGAGCCCCAACACCTGCAATGGTTTGGGGCTTAGGGGGGGATTGGGGGCTTTGGGCTTCGGGCTCAGGGCCTGGGGGTCCGAGCTCCAACAACGTGGCTGTGAAGCCTTGACGCGGGTGCACCCGGGCGCTCTCGTCGAGGGTTTAGGCCTCAAAGGTTGAAGGGGTTCAAAGGGGATTATTTTGGGCACCAAAATGGTCCCTCAAGGGGGTTGAAGGTTCAGAATGCCTGAATTCTAGTATAGGGTAGCTGACTCCATGTGGTCCGCCAGGGAGCTAAAGCGGGTTTGGGGCTTTTTGGGGTTCTTGGGGTGTAAGAAGCCCTTTCTTCGCCCTTGCTAGGATTATTCGGAGCTCGGCTTTAGTGGAGTAGGGGAGGTCCCTTAGCCCGAATGCCTATACACACCCTGAACCCTAAACACCGAGCCGAAACCCGACTCGGGTTTAAGATATCGCTTCCAGAGAGGGCCTGGAGAGCCCCCGCATTTTCGGGCGATAGCCTTTTCGGGCACCCAACTTCTCCAGCCGTGCTCCGGAAAAAGGGCGGCTGGGAATTCAAAGTGTGGGTTTGGGGGTTTGGGGCTTGGGAAGACCCTGTAAACCACAGGCCTCATAAACCCTGAAACTAGGGCTTCAGGATTTCGGGATGTGGAGTCGGGCCTTCATGTCTATATCCCCCTCGGGGATTATTTTTTAGTTTATATAACACCCAAGAGGGTGATTAAACATGTGTTTTGTATTAAGGTTCTAAGGGGAGTATAGATGTCCTAGTCATCAGTACTAGTGTGAACACTGTGTTGGTGTGCCTATCTGGCAGGTCTTGGCAGCATAGGTTGTGCCTGGCAAATCGCCGCAAGCCGGGATGCTAAAGGGCTTGGGGTCTTAGAGGTTCAAGTGCCTGGCAGTCATGTTGCAATGATCCGAGCGAAGGGGCGTTTGACCTTCTGAACCCCCCGAAAGCCCATATCCCTTAACCCGAGCTCTTTTGTAGATATGTATATGTATGTGTATAGAAATCGTATGTTGTCATACATATGTAAATGTGTACATTGTTTATATATGCATGATATTCTACATGTATGCAAACCCTGGAAGCCTACAGCCCGAAGCCCTAGGAGCATGCAGCATGCCCCTCTGTGGCCTGGAAGGGTGACCAGCCCAAGCACGGAAGCCTGCATATGCCCTGTAAACCCCTAAGCCCCTAAGCCCTAAGCCCTAAACCCTAAACCCTTACAGAAGAAATCTTGGAGCCGACAATGGCTGAGCAGAATGGGCGTCGACGTGCCGCTTGGGCCGATCTTGGGAGCAAAGGGTTTCAGGGGGTTTGCGAGTTTTTTCCTGTGTAACCCTGCACTTAAACCCTAAACCCTAAACCCTAAACCCCTGCCAAAACACTTTCCCGCGGGCGGCCTCTGGGAGACTCTGGAAGTGGGAGTGGGAGGTCCAAGCCCACGATTGAGGCGGGTTCGGGGTTTACTGCGAGATGGATGCATTTTAGAACAGTTCCAGGGATGTGCTTTGAATTGCCCCGGGACGGGCGTGTGTGGGATGGGGGTGGGTCAACGGTCATCAACAATAACCCTACAGCCCGCCATCGATGACAGGGGTTTTAAGGGAAGTGGGAAACTTGTTGTAGGTGTTTGAGGCCTTGATTCGACTTCGTTCAGAAGAGGTTGAGGGTTCATGTCTCTCAGTGGGCGACATTCATCCTGAAGCCATGTGACTTGCCTAGATCTCAGGGAGCCCCAAGCAAGAAGAAGAAGAAGAAGAAGAAGAAGAAGAAGAAGAAGAGGAAGAAGAAGAAGAAGCAGAAGACGTCATGAAGTCACGATCCTGTTTGCACAAGCTCCCTGAAAGCATTAGAAAACCTTTCAACCTTTCTGCATACTCCTGAGCTCTCAAAGCTCCAACATGTGTTGTTTTAACCTGATCCACTCCACGCCCATGCACCCAAATGCCTTAAACCTTCAACCCTCTAGGCCTCCTTACTCGAACCCAGAAGCGCCTGAACCGCATCGACGCGTATTTTCAGAGATTCCTGCGCAAAACTCCCCTCAACCTTCCTGGCTCCAGGAACAGAACCAGTGCACTCAGTAGTCTTTGCAGCAGCCCATAAGGATAGAATCTTAAACTCAGGATGTAGGAGAGGGATGCCGTGCACTATTGCATTGAAGTAACCTCCCGTAGATTCTATCCCGAGATTTGTACGTCGGACCACTCCTCGCGTATTAACCTCCATGATAAACACGCTAGATTGCGCGAGTCATGCGAGAACCTGCTCCAGACAACGCGCCCTAAGCACGCAACTACCTCGCCCGCACGGCCTTGACAAATAACCTTCGACCCCTGTGATTGCTCGGACTTGTTCCGTCAGTCCCTAGGCCCTGAAGCCCTTAGCCCACTCGCAAAAACCAACCCCTATGACCCCAAAGCCTTGGAGAAACCCCGAACCCAACCGCCATTTCAAGTTTAGGGCTTAATTACGGTGTAGGGCTACGTAAGGCTTCAGGCCAAAAAAGCCGAAACCCCAAACCCTCAGAACCCTAAAAACAACCCAAGCCTTGCCTGCGCACGCTCCAGTGTCAGGAAGATCTTCGGGCTCGGCGGGGAGCTTTGCCAACTGTCACTTCCGCCTGGTCGCGTCCGAGAACTGAAAGAGGCCAGTTTGGGGGGGGGGGGGGGGTTGCCACGAAGGGCCGTCCGCCCATGCATGTAAAAAGAAATGCCTGTGTCCTTGGGGGGGGGTTCTTTGAGTTTAGGGTTTAGGGTTAGGGTTTAGGGTTTAGGGTTTAGGGTCTTTGACTTTACAATTCAATTCGCAACCGGCCTCGGAGCTCGAAGTACATCGCTCGTGGAAGGCAGTTGCTACAGGACCCTGCACCTCCGGACAAGATAAGAATGACGAAAGCCTCGTTTGGGGACAGCTGGCCCAAGAAGATGAGATCTGCACATGCAGGTTGCTGTTAATTGCTTTTTTTGGTTGGCACCCTCAACCCTAAACCCGAAACCCCTCAACGAAAAAGGGAGATCCCAAACATGGCTATATTCCCCAGGCTGTGGCAGAGTCGCTACAGGCAGGGGACGCTTTAGGGTTTTAGGGTTTAGGGTTTGTCGAAGATTGGAAAGCTTCGAGTCTTGTGTCCCCCCTCCACCTAACGTGATACCCCCTCCCCATTCCCAAATAGGCACGGTATCAGGATATCTGGCCACAGTCCTTGTTGCAGGTGGAAGTTGTTTAAAGGACAAGGATGGCGCAGGATTAATTTAGTGGCCTTGAGCTGTCATGAATTTCCAACGTTGTCGGTTTTTGCTTCATGCTGTTAAATTTAAATTTCCATGTCAGGCAGGGTGAGGAACAGAACTTTGAATCTTGCAACTTGCAGTCAACGAGAAATACTGCTGCCTTGGCTTCAGATGCTGCTTGTGCCGTTTCCTTCGCCGTACCCGAATGAAGCTTGCCTTCGTTGTTCACCTTCTTTCGGTTCTTGCCTTCTGGGAAGGTGTGTTCTGCGAATTCTGCATCCATTCTGGCAGTTTCGGGTTGCTGCGGAGCCGAAGCCTGTGGTAATTCAAGGCGATGAACCGGAAACTCTTGTTCGACGATGGGGGAGTGGGGGGGTGGTGCCAGGTTCCCATGATTTGAATCGGATGCCCGTCGAACTTGGCCATGCGTTGCTTCGAGGGACGCATAGAGAGGGGCCATCGTCGGTCGAGACCACACATCCGAGAGCTGGAGGATTGACATGCGCCCTGGAGTGAGCCTGTGTTGCAAGGCCTGCCAAAATTGATATCGCAGCGTGGAGGGCATTGCGCATGCCTGAAGCAGCCGAACCATTTTAATTGCAGCCCTGTGGGCCGTGAGCTGCGGAGTATTTTAATTAAGGTCTTGGCAAGATGCTGTTCGTGCATCTTTCCTTGTGTCTCCAGCCCATTGGTGAAATCTTGCCGGCTGGAATCACTGGAACATACTCGCCTTTTCGGGGCACTGCCTGACGAGCATTGGCCAGATGTGGCCTGACGTCACTGGGAGACCATCTTTCCTCGGTTTCTGCCACACCCGCCCGCACATGTCCTTTCACAAGTGAACATTACCCTTGGTTCCTCGCCTCCCTCTTTGCACACACTTGCGAGAACTGGCCAAAGAATCCCTATCCTAAGAAACCTCAAGCGCACGAGCCCCTGAAGCCCTAAATGTTGACTGCATCTTTTGTAGTGTGGGGTGGGGCTGCCAAGCAGGCGGCAAACACAAACCTAAACCCTGTCTAGTTCCACAGGGGGGCACATGATTCCCCCCCCCCCCCCATAATTCTTTTGGAGGTAGACCCCGTATAGCTGCTTGCAGTACTACTGTCGAAACTTCCACCAGCACCAAAGAGTAAGTTTTGGGTTTCGGAATTGTAAGCCCTAAACCCTAAACCCTAAACCCTAAACCCTAAACCCTAAACCCTAAACCCTAAACCCTAAACACCACCCCGCCTTGGAGAGGTGGATCTGGCCCAGCTGCGTCTGCTCTACGAAGTACGCGAGGCGGGATGCCCGTTCTCCCCTAAACCCGAAACCCTAAGTAGGGTTTAGGGTTTAGGGTTTAGGGTGCAGCAGTCCTAGCCGTAAAAAGGGTTTAGGGTTCAAGGTTCTTCCCCCCCCCCCCCCCCCACAAAAGAAAACATGGGCCTTAAACTTCGAGAACCCCTAAGCCCTGAATCCATGACACCCTAAACCCTAAACCCAAACGTTGGCATCCCTTCTGACTGGTTGAAAGGGGTCGGAACAGACAGGGGGAGTCAACACTGTCTTCGCAGAACCGCGGTTTCCTACCTGAACAACGCGAGTGTTCCCTGCACTGCGATGTCCCATCAGCTAGGCGAGTGCCTGCCTCGAGCCCCCCCCCCCCCCCCCCAAACCCTAAACCCTAAACCCTTTCAAAAAAACAAAAACAAGTTGTGTTGAGGTCCACGATGACGAGGAGCTCCCGCCCTTCGCGGGGCCGCTTGCACTTCGAATGGCAGTTCCCAAGTTCCCGGAGTTTTTTGATTCCCGTGTTTGGGTGGCGGTATCCCTAAACCCCTAAACCCCTTATAATAGCCAGCACACGAAAGCTGAGCTTGCAATCTATAGACATCGTTTCAGCAGGCTCTTGCATTTCTTGCGAAGTTTGTTTTGAAACGCCATTCTAGGTCCCAGGTGTGCTTGTAGGTTCGACGTTTCATTCGCTTCCTGATGTGTGGGGGGGGGGGGAATTCAACCTTACAACACCCCAGCCTAGAATGCATCGTTTGTCGTTTCAGGTCGCCTCAATCCTAAACCGTCAAGCTTTAGGCCATAAGCACCTGTGCAAACAAGCCTCCTGTGCTTCCGCAGCAGCACTAGATGTTGAAATCCAGTCTCCGACATTGCCTCTCATGCACTTTTTGAGGACACGCTTCACAAATACTTCACGGCTTCGCGGCAAAGCTTCAACCCTTACCCAGTGTCCATTATCAAGTACCTTATAGTAACTCCAAGCCCCTTCAGAGCTATGGCAAAAGAGCTCACCTTCCAGAACGTGCGCTGCGTGGGCCAGGCTGGACACGGGGCCTTCCGGCTGGACGAGAAGAGGCTGGGCTGGAAGTGTGTTTCCGGGACGGTCACGCGGCCGCGCGAGTGGGCCGGCTCAGACCTGACCAAGGCGCAGTGGCAGCCCTCGGGCGGAGGCTGCGGCCTTCTGAAGCTTCACTTCGGCAACGACTCAGTTCGCTTCGCCGATCTGGACCAGGGTGCTCTACCGAAGATCAAGGATCATCTCAAGCAGTGCTTCAAAGTTCAGCTTGCGGAGCTGAAGCCGTCAACAGCTGGTTGGTCTTGGGGGGAACTGGAGCTGGTTGACGACAAGTCACTTTGCCTCATGGCGGGCAACGTGAATGATCGGGCAGTTGCCCTTGAGGTGGAGATCCCAGAGCTCAATCAAGTGGCTTCCGTGGGCAAGCAAGAGTTGGTGCTGGAGCTCCACTCACGGCCCGATGAACTCCTCCAGAGCATCCGATTCATTGTGCCGTCCGGGGAGGAAGGCGAGTCAGCGGAGAGCTGGCGAGACGAATTGTTGAGGCTTGCAAAAACCACAGACGGGCAAGTCTTGGCGCAAATCCAGAATGTCACGATTGTGGCGCCAAGGGGAAAGCATGACCTGCACTTTCTTTCAAAAGGCCTGAAGCTCCGTGGGAAGTCACAGAGCTACGCTCTGAAGTGGGAGAGCATCAAAAAGCTTTTCCTTGTGGATATGCCCAGCAACCAAAAGCTGGTGGTCATAGGGGTGACGCCACCCATACAGTGCGGCAGGATTCTCCACAGATTGCTTGGTTTCACCTTCGACAGCCAAAATGAAAGCGTCGTAGCCGAAGAGGCTGTGCCACAGGCAGCGTGGGACGCTGCCCGAAGCCAGGGTGGCTTCGATAAGAATCGCGACAGCGTCATACTTTCGGGTGAGGACGAGGCGCCGAAGTGGGAGGTGGTCATTCAACTCATCAAGGAGCTGCAAAGGGGGAAGGAATAAGGAAGGAACCCGAAGCGAAGTTGAGACTAGTAAAACATAAGGGTGATCTTGACTGCGGCCTTCCTTACTTGAAGGTTCATTGGGTAGTTATCAGTAGGATTCTAAGTGCCCTAAACAAGATTTTAGCCAGTCATAACTATACTTACCCTACTTATAACCCCACTTACACCTACCCATGAGCCTCCAAGTATCCCTAAACCCTAAACCTTAAGCCCTAAACCATGAGAGCAGCATTTCCTTTTTGAGGAGCTCAGCGGGACGAAGATGGTTCAGCCCATGGCTTACGAGGGCACGGATGGGCAGAAGGGTGTGGCTTGTACGTTTGTAACAGACCGCGGCTTCCTGTTCTTTTACCAGAAGCAGCTAGGTTGGGCTATTGGGAGATTTGCTACTTTCCTTTTTTTTATTGGGGGGGGGGGGGGTTTATATGGGGACCCTATATGCAAAGCTAGGTTGGCTCTTGGAACTTGGGACATTTGCTACTTTCATTTTTTGGGGGGTTTGTAGGCAGTTTCTCTTCGTGAAGAAGCCCATCACGTGGAGATTGTGGGCAGAGGTCATCGGGGTGCAGTTCCGTGATACGCCCATGCGTAAGAGCAGCTTTGACCTTAAGTTCCTGTTTCGCGACGACGGCAAGCCTATGGAGTTCACGCAAATCGACAAAAGGGACCAGAAGAAGATCTTCGAGCTGCTTGAGAAGATACCCGATGTGAAAGACAAGATCCGCGATGCAGACGAGGTCCGGAGAGGCTTCAACAAGCCCCAGGCAACCCAGGACAGAGCCTTCCGCCGGGTTGGCGCTTCGGCGCAGGCAACCGTTATGGAGGACGAAGATGACGATTTTAACGATGATGACTCCGACGCGTCCGCAGATGGTGACAACGACGAGGACGACGACACCCTCCCGGCCCCGAAGAGGCTTCGCAGCACCCGTGACTGAGACCGTCTCGGCCTTAAGTGTGTGTTTAGCGTTTCAGAGGATGTGGGGCTGTAGATGTGTAGGACATTGTAGTGTAGGGTCCAAGATCGATCCTTTGGGGGAATCAGCTGAAGTGATTCGACACAAACGGCCGCTGATGAATACAGCCACAATGACACCTTGCCCAAAACACTTCAACCCGACGAAAGCGCCTAACAACATCAGCGGTGCGCACAACTTTGGCCAGCGCCGAGCAGAGTGGACCTGGTTTTGGTGGACCCTGCAATCTTGCTTCGGGTCTTAGGGTTTAGGGTTTAGGGTTTAGGGTTTAGGGTTTAGGGTTTAGGGTTTAGGGTTTAGGGCACTGGCAGTACTCAAGCATCCCTTCGGTCGGCACTGCCCTGTCTTACTCGGCCCACTTGTACACAACAGCTTCGAGAATTTTGACCCGTGCAGAGGCCTGAGAGCGAGAGTCGAAAATGCAAATCACCTGGGCCGGGCATCTTGGACAGACACACATATACATATATATATATATATATACATACATAGATACATACATATATAATATGTATATATATATATATGTATATATTATATATATGTATACATGTATGGGGTATGATTACATGTCTATACATATATATATATATATGTATATATACACATATTTATATAGTTATTTGTTTAAGCGTATATTATCATTTTCATCTCCACACAAAAGTCACACAAACTTTGCCAGATATCGCAGCTTCCGAGGAAGCCCCTGGAGTTCACCCTGGTCAAGCGCCCGGAGGACCCCAACGCGGGGGCCGAGGGGCTCTCTCTCAGCTTCGGTCTAGGGTTTAGGGTTTAGGGTTTAGGGTTTAGGGTTTAGGTTTTGGGGTTTAGGGAAGAAAGGGACACGGGCATGTGGGTTCAGGGTTGAATCAAGTGTTCAGAGGGCTTTCCCAACACCAAGGTTTCAAGTCGGAGATGCTCAGGACGAGGTCTTGACGAGGTCTTTACAAGAACTTCTCGGAGTCTATAAGGTAGGGCCAAGGGCTCTTGGATATGGCGGCCCACTCCCCAACAGATTGCAGTGGAAAATCCCAACTTAGGGGTTGATTGGGGCCTCCTGGTGGTTCGCGGGCTGCCTGGCATCTTGCTACTCCACACATGCTGAACCCCCAAGCTCCTCAGGCCCAAGCCTCGGACGTACCCTTCTGACTTGAGACGCTCCCCAATGCTACTAGTTGCTTAGAAACACCGAAAAAACAACAATAGACTTCCTTACTAAGGGTAATGTAGGGATTCTTATGCACATAGTAGAATATGCCAGCACCTTTATCCAGTCTTGCTACCTGTCGAGACTTCCGCGGCCTGACTTCTCATGCAGACAACGGGCGTCGGGCGTTGTTTTTTTGGCACAGCACTTGCAGAGGAGCAAGCGAAGTGGCTCTCCGAGATGCGCGAAGGGCATGTCACCAAGTTGAAGGCAAGGTTGATGTTTCGGTCTTTTGCATAAGAGTGCATTCCTTTTGTGCATCTTTGGGGGGACGGTGCAGGGGAAAGCATCGTTGATGCTTACTTCTTTTGTCAAAACAATTGCCAATACTGGCTGCCGAATTTGGGCCAGTCATCATAGGTCAGAAGCAGCTTCCACCATTCCGTTTCATGTTCACGAAGTGCCCACGTGCCACCATGCCACGAAATGTCCTACTGAATGCCTGGGCTTGCAGCCCAAAGGACGTCGCTCCCATAAACTTCCTTCTTCGCGATTGTCAAACTGTAGAGTAGGTATCGGGATACTAGCAGTCCTGAATAGGGATTATAAAGTACCCTTATTTAGGAGCTGCTAGTATAAGGGTGAAAACCCCAAAGTAGGTAAAGAAGGGGTCGGAAAAGTACCAATCATCTTCCCCTATGCTCCGTCTAGAAGTATACTACAATAAACCCTGAAAACCCGGTTCGAATCATTAAGGCCGCTATATTGGGTATCTCCACACTGAAACCTCAGTTCATTGCAATCGTGACCATGAACTTCAGAGAGTGCCCTCAGAAAGGTGCACCATGAGCAGGTGTAACATGGGTTTTGGGTTAAGGGTTGGGTTTAGGGTTTAGGGTTTAGGGTTTAGGGTTTAGGGTTTAGGGTTTTTGGTTTGGGGTTTAGGGTTTTTGGTTTAGGGTTTAGGGGCTCTTCGCTGGTGCAGGAGGCACCGGCCCACATCCGAGCCGATCCCGAGGTCGTCCTTGCAGCCCTTGCTGTGTCAGGACACCTTCCTAGTAGTAGAGTAGGTAGCCTTTTTAGGGTTTGGAATTTAGGGTTTAGGGTTTAGGGTTTAGGTAACCTTTAACCTTTTCAGGCTCAGATAGCCCCCTTACAATCCCACAGGTTCACCCTTAGTTCCCCAGGCTACTGGGCAAACTCAGCCTTCCGGGTTCTGAGTCTAGGACCAGAGAAGGGCCCCTATGTTCCTTTGTGTGAGGGTTTGTTTAGGGTTTAGGGGGTGGGGTTTAGGGTTTCGGTTCCCTTATATCCCCTTTAAAATTTAAAACAAAAAAATAGGTCACCCGTTTTGTTCCTCGGTTACTCCTGGGTCTAGTAGTCGGGAATTCTGACACCATATGCAAGCCCTCACAGGGTGCTGTAGGGAAGATAAGGTATCGGGAATTCCCTACTAGGAACTGTTGTCAAGACACAGATTCAAAGGGATGCGCGAATGTCCCTGCAATGTTAACAGAAGGCACCCCAAATAGCTCCAAACATGTTTTGTGACTGACAAGTAAACATACACACATACAGAAATACAATTAACATATCAACTCTATTTTGATGACGCCCCTGTTCTGGGAGGGGTTCTCATGGCCGTTCTCATGCCATGAAAATAATGAGAGGAGATCCTACTATATACGTTGTTTCCGGTTGTGTGAGTTATAATCTACTTAGGCTCTACTTATGTTAAGTAGGTTACACTAGTTATAACCGAAGTTATAAGTAAGACCTAAGTAGATCCTAAGTAGTTTTGTTTTTTTGTTTTAGCACAGTTACAAAGTTGTCGAGGCGAGTGTGGCAAAATGAAAAATGATGGTTTTCCCGGGGCAGAAGAGCACAAGAGCGTTTGGCATGCTTCAGAACATGCCAACTTTTTCTCAGTGCAGGCACATGAGGCAATCTCCATCGCAACGCCACCAGGACGGCAACATCCAGGGGTCCTGTTGGCAAGGCTTGACCAGAGCAGTTTCGCCTGTGTTTCGCCACCGGCTGCCCCCAACTTTCGAGAGAGACGACTGAAGCAGCGTTTCTTGGCTTGCCGGCAAAGTAAACTGGGCAGCGTCGATGCTGGCCATGGCTTGAGCAACTAGAAAGAAGCGGTAAGGGTAGCTTGGAGGGGACTCGGGCTGCAGCGGCTGCGGCGGGGAAGCGAGCGAGAAAGGCAGGACTGGAGGCAAGCAAGCAGCTGAAGCAGAAGGGAAAAACCTTGATTTTTCACGTTTCGATGCAAACACCGGGCCGACACGCGGCCGACAGGCCTCCGACACCAAATCCCCGCCCTGGCGAGCTGGCCGACAGGCCAAACTGCGCGAAAACGTATGGTTTCGTGTGTCCGGCCGACACGCGGCCGACATGAGCCATTGGCGCTGCGTAACCGGGCCGACAATGGCCGACAAAGGCCGACAACAGGAAGGTTCATGAAAACACAGGATTTTTTTAGAGGAAATGTTAGGAGCAAGGGTTGCTTCTGAGAGGGCTACAGGTTCAGCGGCCAAGCTATATCAGCTCGGTTATACTTGAGGTCCGGTGTGCTGTGGAAGCTTCGCGGACCGAGTCGGAGAAGGGCTGGCTGGATCCTGGCCCATTCACGAATGGTGCCAAAGGTGAGTGTGCGACTAAGCATAGTTGGGCGCAAGAAAAAATCCTGCTCAAGAGGCAGCCTGCATGGCGAGAACACCCACTGGCGTGAGTATGTCTCCAGCTCTAGCCGTCTGCTCTCCACCCTTGCCAAGTTATATCTCCGTCTGGCATCCATGATGCACGAGCCAAAAAAGCTGAGGCTCATGCAGCACACATATAAAATCAAAATGCTGAAAAAACACAAATTCATAAGTAGAACCTAAGTCAAACGTAACTGAAAACCTAACTAACTTATAACTAAACAGACACTACTTATATAACTAGCTCATAAACCCAGTAAATAACCTATAACTGACTTCCTACTTATGACGGACTTGCGGCTGTACTTAGCCGGGTTATAACCCATGTTAGCAAGGTTATAACCAGGGTTATAACTCGACCAAACCAATCAACCTACATAGTAGATTGCAGGACAAAGCTTGGAGTACGCTGCCGAGGCTCTCCGTGCAGACAAAGCGCCGCTTGCAGGGCTCACGCCCTATAAACCGGAGCCCTTTTGGAGCACCTGAGGCCCTTTTAGCTCTTTCCGGAGTCTCTCAAAACCTGCAAAACCCAAACCGTAACAGAAAGGGCTTGGGGGTATTTGGGGTTAAGGGTAGGGTTCAGGGGGTAGGGTTCAGGGTTCTCAGTTCCGGGTTCAAAGGGTCGAGGGTGTAGCTCCTGAATTCCAATCTGTCATGCTCCAAGGATTGCACTGGCCGCTGTGCAGTCAGACTGGCGCGCCCTGCAGTTTGTGGACGAGGCAAGCGCTCCGTGGTTGAGGTGCCAGTGGGCCTGTGGTGGGGTATGGATGTTACTGCTAGTATGAGGGGCAACCCAAGGTAAGGGTTTCGATGTTCCCCCTACGAGTAACACCCAAGGGATACTGTACTTCCAGCCCTCAATGTGGTGACTGGTAGTTGGAGGAGGGGACAAAACAGTTTGTGAGCAGTCTAGTTGACACATGGGGCATATGCAGCAATTCCTGCGTGGACGCCGGCTTCGGTGGTTTTAAGTTCCTCAAACGCTGGGTCAACATCGCAAAAGTGGTTCCAACATGAAGTCGAGGGGCTGGGCACTATGCCCCTAAACCCCAAACCCTAAACCCCAAACCCTAAACCCTAAACCCTAAACCCCAAACCCGAGGCCTGCTGGCTTGTTGGACGACAATCGCGCTCTCGTCTAGGCGCGGGCGTGGCCGCGCTTGCCGGCCTCGAAACTGTCGTCACTTGTTGGTTTCTGGGCTCGCAAAATGCGAACTGTCGTCGCTTTGTTCGCGAAATGCGAAACTGTCATCGCCTTCGGATTTCAGGGCTCGTAGTCGTACTCTTTCGAGATCTCTCTGAAGGTTCAGGGTTTAGGGTTTTAGGGTTTAGGGTTTAGGGTTTAGGGCTACTTGAAGGTTCATGGGTAGGTATATGCAGGGTTAGAAGTACCCTAAACAAGCGTACAACCAGACAGAAGTCTAGCTACCCCACCCCACTTAGAACTACCCATGAATCTCCAAGTAATTACAGATCATCGTAGAGCTGACAATCCCCAAAGCCACAAGGGCTTAGGGTTCAGAGTTTTGATAGCGGAGACACAAACACTAAGTAGTCAAGTAGTCGAGACAGAGTGGGCGACGAAGCCCTTCGATTCCGTAGCTTGGGCCACGTCAGCCCTAGAGTCGCATGAGGCGCTGATGAACGACCGGCAGCTTGTGCTGACAGCCGTGAAGCAGGTGAGGCAGCATGTGTATATATATATACACATATACTCATATGTTACACATATACATACACACACACATATATATATATATATATATTTATACATGTGTGTGTATGTATTTATGTATGTATGTATGTATGTATGTATGTATGTATGTGTGTATGTATGTATGTATGTATGTATGTATGTATGTATGTATGTATGTATGTATGTATGTATGTATGTATGTATGTGTGTATGTGTGCATGTATGCATGTATGTATGTATGTACGTATGTATGTATGTATGTGTGTGTATGTGTGCATGCATGTATGTATGTATGTATGTATGAATGCACACACACATACACATATCAATATGAGAGGCAGTTTGTGGCTGTGTGATGCATGGAGAGATGATGCTTGCTCTCCGCGCTGGCTCCGTTTTGCTGTTTGCTGCGTTCTATCTTGTATTGACTTAATTAGCCAGATGGGGGTAACGCAGCATAATGTTCTATATTGTAACGAACTAACGTTCAAAGGTCAATTAAGGATCTTTCACAATCACCAGTAGCTGGGGGCTCTTCCTTGAAGATCCCCTGAAGCCTTAACCCCAAACCATAAACCCTAAACGTGTAGATTCTGCGTGCCGGGCCCCGTCATCCAGAAGTTTCCAGGCCTTTGGGGTTGGGCACAGGGTTTGGGCAGAAGGAACTACAGGGCTTTGCCGAAAGCAAGCGGGTCATCCTCTCTCTTTCTCTCATGTACATATATACGTATATAATATGTATATACATACATACACATATATATAGGTACGATAGGGCCTCTTCGTAAGCTTTGAATGGGACAGAATACTGGTCATACTGAGTCCTTCTCTAGGCTCTTGTGCTACGCTGGATCCTTTGCCCATTCACCTAACTCGGCCGCCCCCCCCCCCACATTGATCGCTGGCTGCCTTGGCGATGTTAGACTCAAGCCACTGGAGCTTCACATAAGTTCTGCAGGACTGGTGTGCCCTCCAGTTCGCCAGCGACGCACTCCGTGGCGACCGGGAGATCGCTCTAGCTGCCATCTCACAGGCCTGGAATTGGGAACTTTGGGGTTTGAACAGATGTATGAGGGTTGAGCTGCAACAAGGGTTAAAACGTTTGAAAGCTCCGCGCTGAGTTGGAGGAAGAGGAGGGAGGATCGGGTGGCTTCTGCACTTGCTTCTAGGCGCTTCAAAGCCCTCCAATGAAGAAGTTCCTCTGCAGGGTCTTGAGGGCCTCTTATCCTTGTCTTCTCTCTTGGAAGCGGGGCACGCGATGTGCTTCATAGGGCCACAAAGAACACACCACGCTGCAACATGATACTGCAAAGCCCGCCTTTATGCTTGTACGAAAGATGAAGCTCTTCACAGAACAGTTGTACCAACAAGAGCAAAAAGAAACATGAAAACAGGGATCAGCGAAGACGCCAACTTGGCCTCTCATGCGACTGAGAAGATCCCCCCCCCTTCAAGCGACATCCCGGCCTCGTCTACTTTGTTTGCTTGAAGGTTCATAACCATAAGCACATAACATGCCCAAACAAAAAGCTGCAGGAAGATCCGTGGATGTAGTAACGATAGTCCTCGAGAGTAATTAAGAGGGTTATAAGTGCAGGTATACGTTAATACAGGTACGCTGCCTAAAAACTCCCCATGCTTATCTTTCTAACATGTGTACTTACATGAAACATGGCATTTTAGTAGCAATCGTGACAGTTAGTGACGGTCGTAATCGTAAATGCTAATCGCAAATAGTAGTTGTTAACAAGTCCACTAAACCCTATATATATATATATACATACATACAGGCTGGGCATTGTTCCGGTGTCCAAAATCGAATGCCCAGACCCCGGCCGAGCGCCGAACGCCCCGATGGCCAGCTCTCGAAATTCCATTTTAGTGGGGTTCCCCAACTAAAAGGTCCCGAGAAATGAGGGGTACCCGAAGACCCAATTTGGCACTGAAAGGAGCCCCTAAACCCTAAACCCTAAGCCTGGGTTCAAGAGGGATCCTGCCAAATGTCCAGGCCTGGGGTGCAATCCTGCTGCTCGGATTGTTCTCGGAGTGCGCCCACGGAGTTTAGGGGGTTTCGGGTTTAGGGCTGGGGGTCTAGGGGTTCCCCAGTTTCAGGAGTTCAGTTTCGGAAGACGTCAAGGAGATGCAGTTCCTTGCCCCCTAAAGCCTGAACCCTAAACCCTAAAGCAATGAATTCAGAGGAAGGTGTTTTTATGTCCGGTGTCTTCTCCACGTGCATATCTTCCCTAGTCTGTTTGTCAAGTACACGGGCCCGCGACTCAGATTGTCTACCTTTTGCTGTGGTTGTTGATGCCAGCTAGAGAACTGCTGCTCTACTGAGTACCCTTTTCTTGCGTTTCTACAATATGGTACGTGGTAGCATGGGCTATTTTAGGGAGGTGCATGGATCCGTTTATCTTGTTTGATTGACGTTGCGAGTTGGGAAAGGGGTTCTGGGTAGAGTCACCAAGATCGCTTCAATTGCTCATAGCCATGCATGAACTATGTCATGCAACAGTTAAACTTCTTTCCAACTTTTGTTTAGGTGGATATTCTCAACAAACATGTGTGTACATGGGTTATATGTGGATGTACTTACTGTAACCCAACCAATAGCTACCCAAGATAAGACCCCCCCCAGACAGATCCCTCGCTTAAGCGCCTCAATTGGGGGTAGGTTTCGGGGATAGAGTTTATGGTTTAGGGAGTTTAGGGGAGTTAGGATTCAGGGTTTAGAGTTTAGGTTTTGGGCATGAAAAACTGAGGTTTATGGATCCGTCCCTCCGCGCGGATCGCACCTTCCTATTGCCCGAGGCCAAGCACAGGCTTGTGTTCCTCAGAAGAGGTGTGTTTTCCGTCGGGGATGAGTTAAGCGGGGGTTCCTGGACGCATTGCCATGTGCTACCCATTGTTTTGCGGATGCGTATATATGTATATATGTTTGTTTCCTAATATTATCCATTATGTGACTGGTATCTGTTATACTATCATTATCTATTTTATTCTACGTTATATCATACTACATTATATATATATATATACACACATATTCTAGCCTTGGGTCAGCTACTTGCAGGTGGTCAGGTACAGAGGTGAGGTCTCTGAATTATGGGGATCCCAGGGCTTTTGTGGTCTTCCATGCGCTGCGGACCCTAGGACATGAGTGTGTTGAGGGTGAAGTCAAGAGCCAGAATGCCAAGAAACCTGTGTGGGGGGTTTGTCCTTATAATAAGGGAATCCTACTGTACTATTTGGGTTGTATACAAGGGGTCCCGTATTTTTCGTAAATCCCGGTGTCCCGATAGGGTGAGGTCACAATGTTAGTGACTGTTAGTGCTTCGAAATCATCCCAAGCAGTGACCCATATTTCTTGGTTAAGCTGGACAAGTTAACTGCAGTTGACGGCTTTGTGCGGCCACGCCTCCGAAGGTCGGTGTTGAAGACCGACCAGTGCCGTCTGGAGATTGCTGCAAGCAATCTGCGGGACGATAAGGACCCGGTTTGGCGGACGAACAGGATACATGCTTTGCCTCAGGCGGTAATGCGGAAGGTGCCGTTGAAGCTTGTTCTGGGACAGCCCCACTTATGTACCCAGCAAATTTTCCAGAATCTAGGGTGGCCAAGAAGAAAGCACCATTGGACCATGAAGAATGAAATCACGAAGGGAGCCACAGCCTAATTTGCCCCCACAGACCGCCCATCCGGCAAAGCCTCTCAAAAACGTTGGCAAACCTCATAATTCATTGGGCATAATTTCATGAGCATGAGTTGATATTCATACGATATCCTCGAAATGTCGGCGCAATATTGGATGACACATGACGCTGGCAGTTTTTGCAAATCTCAGGTTTCAATTTGGGCAAAGTTTGGATTTCAATTCTAATTATTCAGTTTGATATCGTCGACATGTCAGATTTGTGTTTTATGGCGTTCATTTGATTTGTGATCTTCCGAAAACCTCCGTATGTAAAATATCATCTAATTTGGATTTCAGTTCTATCAAAGTGGATCGGGTGTTTTCAAGTAACTCTGGGAATCTTTGAAACCCTCATATTTCATATTGACAGATGTGGTTTTCAATCTCATCAAATAGGAAAATTACGAAAATGAATAGGCATTCAGTTGGAAATCCTCGAAATGATGGGAATCCACGTGAAATCTTCGAAAATTCGGAAAGATTTTGGTTTGAATTGGTTCTGGTTTTTTGGAAAATCTCACAATGTTGGCTTTTCAATGATTCTGGGAACCTTTCAAATGATCACATTTAAAAACACTGCAAACAGTGGCCTGGTGACATCAAGCCCAATGATAGGAGGTCGTGCTGGCGGCTGTGAAACGTCATGGACTGCCACCCGACGGCAGAATGCTTTCCTTCTCTTGCGATGGTGGCGGGAGCTTCTGGTTGTTTTTTTTTTGCTTCTTGCCCAGTGGTACCCCTTTTCCCTTTTTTGGTTCTAGGTTCCCTTGCAAAGGAATTCTTAGAACATAGTTACTGGCAACTGGGCTACCAAGTTTAAGACGACATTAAACATGTTTCCTTGTATGGACGTGCTGTATGGGTGGGCTCCGGGCTGAACAAATTTGCAATCACATCCCCAAACTCCGAACCTTATTGCCCACGGGCTGCAGAGGCGTCGCTGGGGACTCATGGGCCTTCAGTGCTTGTGCAGTTGAGGGTTTCGGCTCGTGGGTTACGGCTCAAGTCTTTTGCTACGAAGCTTCTTGCACCCCAATTCCCGAATTGTCTGCAAAGAACTCGGGATAAAAGGGTTTTTCAGAAGTGCTTGAAGGGTTCAGGGAAGACTTGGACGCAGACGCCACCAAGCGCAAGAACAGCCCGGAAGCTTGATTCCACGCAATCCCCACAGGCGGAGGAGGTAACTTGACATTCCTTTCCGGGTGGAAACCCCCACATGCTCCCAAGCAACTTCTAGTTCCCCAGGGAAACAGCACAAGTAAGAGCAAGTAACCGGGAGGAAACACCAAGAACGATCAGTGTGCTACTGAAGGGCTCTGGGAACCTTTAGTCAGAAGGTCTACAAGGCCCCGCACTTCTGGGACGTGAAAGAGGGCTTAGAGGGCATGAATTTGAAACGTGGCGCTTGAGGCTTTTCCGGGCACCTCCGGTTGTAGGGTGTCGTGAAGCCAGGGTCCCTAAGCTCAGGAAGCCCTCAAGCCCTAAACCCGTTAGGTCTGAGTTCTGTGTGGTTTGCTCCTGTGAGCCCAAGCAACTGCGTCTGGGCTTGTCGTAGCCTCAAGATGCCCGCGTGACCGAGGTCCCTGGCAGACGCATCGACAGCTTTGCAGGAGACCTGCCCGCACACGGAGCTTTTGATCCCGAAGCAGATCGTTTCCGAGTCCCTTTCAAGCATACCGGCTTTTCAGCTCCAGGAAGCCACGCGGAATACATGATGTTTTGTAATTTATTTCGCTGAAGATCTTTGCATCCGACGCCAACCTCTTCCTCGCCTTCTGAGCCGCTGAATAGATTGCCCCTCGGACAGGCAGACAAAGAGGTGGTCCTCACAGCTGTTGGCCAGGCTCGGGTACGGGTCCTTAGGGGTTAGGGCGGTTAGGGTTTTGGGTTCCAATAGAGTCGAGCTCTTCTTCAAGACGCTTGCCGGTCATGATCCCCCCCACTCAGGGATTCAGGGTTTTTTGTGGGCGATCCAAGGACAAACTTCGAAGGTAGAGGCTTGAGAGGATAATGGAGGAAGGCAGACGGTTATTCACAGGCCAGCCGCCTGGCAAGAGGTGCAAACTGGAGAATCCTAGGAAGCCCTGAACCCCCCAAAAAGCTCGCGCCAAATTCCGAAGCCCCGCTCCCCCCATGACGCCAACTTCCCACCCCACCCCACTCCCTGTTACACCATCCAAGCCAACCTGAACCTTTCAATCCCGGAGCTCCCTTCAATCCCTCCAAGCTGAGGCCAAGCCCGCTTTTGTATTTCCAGAGTGGCTTGTGTCCAGACCGGAAGGACTGGCGCGCCCTGCGTGTAGCCTCGCGCGCTCTGCGCGCCGACCGCGAGGCGGAACCGCGCGAAGTTCGAGCTTCTTTGTTTGGGGCCAAAACGACTTTGAATTTCAAGCGCTAGGAGATTGCTACATGGTCGTCGAAGCTTATTGTAGAGTTATTTTAAGGTCAGGAGTTGCCCAAGGGTTCGTTGTTTCCTGGTCTGAAGGCCTCCTGAACGATGGGGTCATAGGGCGTGTTGCGCCAATGTTCCGCCGGCGCTTGTGCCGGCAGCCTTTAATGACTTTATTGTTTACAATGGTCAAAGCAGGATCAGGCGTACAGGTTCGCACAATTGTTTTTGGGCCTGGCCAGGTTGCCCAGAAGGCGGTCGCCCAGGACAGGTGCATTCTAGCAGCGGCAGGTTTTGGGTTGGTAGGATTAGGCCGCGCAAGCCCGAAAACCTAAGCTTTTTCTACACCACCCAAAAATCCCCTTAAACCCTAAGCTGCAACTGCCCCAAAAGTCCCTTTTCCTCCCCACAGCGAAGCTCCGGAAAGTTCTGTAGAGGTGCTTGGACGCTGTTTTCAACCCTAAAGCCCCGAACTGAGCCTCACCTCCACCAACGGGGGCATTCCATGCTGTCAGCCTGAAGCTGACAATCTGTAGACGTTTTTTTTAATGTAAAGGTTCAGGGTTTAGGGTTTAGGGTTTAGGGTTTAGGGTTTCATTTTAACGCGACCCGCCTCGGCCCGGCCCAGCGCATCCGCGTGAGCATGGTGATTCCGCAGCGCCCAAGTCGCTGGACCCCAAGCAATAAGGGTTGGGTTTAGGGGTTTGGGGTTTATGGTTTATGGTTTGGGGCTTAGGGTTGAGGGTTAGTTTAGGGTTGAGGGCTTAGGGCTCAAGGTTCACGGTTTGGGGTTTAGGTGTTTTTTGGGTTTAGGGTTCAAGGTTCAAGGTTCAAGGTTCAAGGTTGAGGGTTGAGACGGTTCTTGGATTGATCGTAAAGTTGAGCCAGGCCCCTCAAGCAGGGGGGGGTTGGGGGGTGGTGGGGGTGGAATGGAGGGCTGGGACGGGCTTCAACTGCCTCTGGTCCTGGCGAACCGTCCGCTTGCGGACCCCGGTTTCCTGAGGGGTACCCATTTGAGGCAAAAAAGGGGTGAGGGATTTGGTGTTCTCACAACCTATACCTTCGGCCCGAGGCCTCGGCGGATTAGGGTTTAAGGTTTAGGGTTTAGGGCTTAGGGTTTAGGGCTTAGGGTTTAGGGTTAGGGAGCCGAGTGCCCCCCAACCCTTTTAAACCAAGGAGGGAACAAAAACTCAAAACCTAGGACCCCCGTGCCCTGCTCCTTGCGGCCGGGCAGCTGCAGAGAGATCTCCACTTCATGCTGGCGGCAGTGGAACAGCTGCTTGGTTTAGGGCTTAGGGCTTAGGGTTTAGGGTTTAGGGTTCAGGGCTGAAGTTTTCGCGTCCAGGTGGAGGAAGGAGTAACTCCTGGGTTGAGGGTTGAGGAGAGGAAGGAGCAGCATCTTCTGCACGAAACCTAGGATCTCAAATAGCGGCCCTTTTCCATCCTCCTGAAGCAAGATTTTTGGGAATGGCATCGGGCCGTTGGTGGTTTGAGGGTGCGGGGGGGAAGCAAACCCCTGTTTCGGTCCCAAAGGTTGAGCTTCAGTCACTCAAGACGGGTAGGTGCTTGACCCCGAAACCCTGAGCCCGAGCCCGAGACCCAAAAACCGGTCGGGGCGTAGGGGTGAGTTGCAACAACCAAGAGAAGGTTTCCACGTTCCACATCAGGTATCTGTTCATTCCTGGCCGGGAAGTCGCGTCTGAGGCATGGCCAGGCATTGCAGCACGCGCCTTTGGCGCTGAGGGCCAACCGCAAGGCCTGTGGGAAGTAGAACTTTGGGTTTCAGGGAGGAGAACTTGGGGCTCAGGGTTGAGAGGGTTTAGGGTCGTGGCGTTGGCGGGCTGTTCTGACATAGAAGCGACCCTGGTTTCTCACACGAACCAAGCTCTTTCATAGCAGTCCCCGGACTGAGCTGGTCCGCAGTTTAAGGCGGTGTTGGACTTGGGGGTAGCAGGCAGATGTAGGCGTGAAGAATGCGAGATCTTCCTCGCACTGCCCCCGCGTGCCAAATCTCCAACTTAGTGGCATGGAGCATTTGTCCGAGTTCCTGCTTGGAGGTTCATGGTACTTGTCACCGCTTACAAGCCCATCAAGTGCCCCAATGTGGTTATAACTGGGTTATAAGTGCAGTTGTCTTTGGGATATCAAGTACCCTGAACCCTAAACCCTAAACAGCTATAATTGGGGTCATTCAGTACCATGAACCTCCAAGTGCAAGCCCCACCTTGAGAAGATCAAGTGCGAAAGCTCGGAACCCTGCAAGCATTGAGAATTATTCATATTACTGTCACTAGTATTATTATTAGTACAGTACTATTATTACTACTATGATTATTAATAACTACTACTAGCTGCCCTAACTCACTAGTTTGTGCAAACACGGCCGTGTGGGGCCTTGGAATATGGCAGCAGCAAAGGGGGCATCTTCAATCCGAGCACTGCCAAGTGCAGAGCTGCCGGGTGCGGTCTCGGAGCGGAATTCAGACTTGGAGTTCATGGTACTTAATGACCCAACTATGGTTGTTTACTAACTATAATAGCTGTTTAGGGTTTAGAGTGTTAGGGTGTTAGGGTTTAGGGCTTAGGGTGTTAGGATGTTGCGCACTAGATTCGATGCTTCCTTGCGCCGTCAGGTGGCGATGGCTGCTGTGAGGTGCGGGGCCATGTCAACTTGAGTTCTTGGGTTTGCAGAGGAGAGGTACGCTTTGAGGGTTGGTGGGAGGCCCACGTCTTGAGAGTTGCTAAAGAGATCTGACAGGCAAGATGGTGAGGCTCTGCAGTTTGTTGCGGAAGGGCTTCAAGCAGACGAGGCATGCTGGCTTCATTGAGAACTTCCCAAGTTTCTCGTTCGATGCGCGGGATGTTTGTGTATGTTTGTTTGAGCCCGAGAACCATCTGGTGGTGGAGGGCATGTTCCTGCACCCTTGAACATGAGGACGTGGTTCTTGCTGCGCTGGAGCAAAATTGGAGGCGAGGAGATTTTCCCGAAGTGGATCCAAGATTATGTGTCGGTCGATGGTGAAGGGAGGGCCTTCATGGTTGAGCCTGGATGGGAGTCTGCTGCACTGCACTGTCACTCTCAATGCACTGTCAATGGTTCTTAGTATCTTAGGCAGGTCGGCTGTTCCAATTTCAGTTACTGTTAAAAATGCAGTTCTGGATCTTAAAGCATGCTGCCCACCCTCCACCCCAGAGACTCTACAATTCATGCGCCAATCTTCAGGGCGCATCGCCACGTGTCGCCTCGGCTTTGGTTGGATTGCAGCTTTTGCCATCGGGCTGTGCAGAGGAGCCGAGCGCGCGAGCTAGGCGCCTTCATCGCTTCGGCTGTGCCGGTTGTGTGTGTGTGGGCGTGGGTGCAGATTTTGGCTGCCTGAGCATGATGCCTTTCCGTAGCCAGTGATTTCGTCACTGCCTTGGTAACAATTTTATTCTATGGTCTGAGTCTCAGGCCTGGTTTCCCTTTTCAATGCCTGTAAGTGCCGTCACGGAGAGCTGTAGAATACTGCAGTGACTCTCATGTTTGGGCATGCGAAATCGTAGCCTGTTGGGGTGCTGAGACCTCAACCCCAACTCCCTCGAAGTCGAAGCGAAGATGCAGGAGCTGGCGCATCTTGAGCATCTTGCCACCGGAGCAGACGTCCAATCCTCAGAAAGGTTTGGAAGGTGTGGTTTTGGACTTCTGGCTTTTGGCTTTTGAGGAGGGGCAGCGGTGAGAGCCTCGACCACAGCCTTTGGGATTGCGGTTCACTGGGGATTCAGAGGAACACAGCTCTTTCTTTGCTGCTTCTCCAGCATCAGTTTCTCGACCCGGGAGTGGGCCGGTGACACTTTCGGAGGCCTCCCGGAGAAGGGAGAGGGAAGGAGTGTGGGTGGCTGCAGTAATGCCGAAGGATGAGGGTCGCAAGGAGCGGCAGCCTTGAAATCAGCCCATAACTCCTGGCACACGGAGCTCGAGGTTGAACGCTTTCGTACAGAGCATGAAGGGGCTCGCCCAATGGAGGATGGTTTCGGGTTTCCTGATATCTGACAACTTGTTTTCAACATGACGACAGGAATGAATACTCCTCGAATCCATTCAGGAACCCTGAGGTTTCATCCCTATTTATTCTTCCAGGCGAAGCAGACCAGTACCGACATAAGCACCGATAAACACGGAGCAAGTTGATGCCATGTATTGACCGACTCTTCATAGCCCAAGCTCGGAGTTGTCTGAACCATGTTTTTGTTTTTGCTTTCTTGTGGGGGGGGGGGGGGGGGGGGATAATCTTTCTGTGGCGTCTATGTGGTCTATATGCACTATATATTCAGTGCAGTGCGCTCAAAAAATCCCAGGGTTTGGATCCACCTCCAGTTGTGCTGCACTACTGGCCTGCTTCGGGAGCACACTGCTTCTTGCAATTGCGAAGGAATGTACGAACTGTGCAGAACCGTGGCTTGGCGGGCTACAGAAGGCACAGAATTGGTGTCCCCGCGTGCAGGTCGAGGAAAGAGCTGGTGGAGTGCGCCCTTCGACAGAACGGCTACTTGAACGGCAAGAGGTTAAACCCCAGAACCCTAAAACCCTAGAACCCTATAACCCTATAACCCAATAACCCTATAACCCTATAACCCTATAGCCCTATAACCCTATAACCCTATAGCCCCATAACCCTATAACCTTATAAGCCTATAACCCTATAACCCTACAGCCTTGCTTGCGAAACGTGCTCCATCTCTCTTGTCCGAAGCGTTACTTGAAACTTCATCTCTGAGGCCTCTCACCTCGATCCTCCCCGATGAAATGGGGTTTAGGGTTTAGGGTTTAGGGTTTAGGGTTTAGGGTTTAGGGTCCCTAAGCTGCAAAAAAAAGATTTTAGGGACCTGTTCGGCGTTTGCATTGTATGGGGATTAGAAGGGGGTTGATATTGGCAGTTCAGGCTCCTGCAAGGTCGGTTAAGGGCGGACGCAAATATCCTCGGCCGAGGGGGTTGCCACTTTCCCATGTCATGACAAGTTTTCAGGGTAGGGGTCCATGATGAGGAGGTCAGGTTCCGCTAAATGAACCCACATGTAGATCAACACTCCCCACCCCCTTGTGCTGCGGGTGGGACTCTGCCTTTAAAAAAAATGTAGTCCAGAGAAAACCGGGGCCGCAGTTTCCTTGCGGGTACTGCTATGTCAATAATCCCTTCCCCCTAATCCTAAAACCCCCCCCCCCCCCCCCCCTCCCTATTTCTGAAATTCGCCTGGGCCCGAAAAATATTTAAAATTAGGGGGGGTCTAAATCCTAAAACCTGAATTCCGAAACCCCTAATGGCTCAACTCAAGGGCGAAGGCCCTGAACCCCTCCCCCCCTAAATCCCAAACAGGTTTAGTATTGGGCTGGGTGCCGGCAGGGCCCGGGAAAAATAATATTTGAAATTAGGGGGGGTGGGGGGGTTTTAGTAATAGGGGGAAGCGACTACTGACCCGAACCTGCAGCTTGCCTCCCGCCGATCCATTCTGACGGTCTAGGGTTCAGGGTTTAGAGTTTAGGGTTCAGGGTTTAGGGTTTAGGGTTTAGGGTTTAGGGGGACCCAAGCACCCAACCGTAAAACCTTAAAGTCTGATGTCGTGTTCCTTGACCCTCGACCGTCCCGATGCCTTGCCTTCACGCGAGTGTGAGAGCCGACATGCTGGGCGTTGAGGCAGAGCCGTTTTGTGAGGCTGCTGGGAAATGCATGTTTGTTTTTTTTTTTTTTTTATCTTTCACGGTATTTTATCACTTAATAATTAGATCAATCATACGGCACATTCTACATCCCTAAACCCTAAAACCCCAAAACCCTAAACTCTAAACCCTAAACCCTAAACCCCTGTATCATGGACGGTCCTGGGGCTTCCTAGGCCGTGCGCTCGAGTTTGCCTCGCCGGAGCTGCGCGCCGACCGCGACGTGGACCTCGGGACCGCAAGAAGCGGGGTATAGGGTTGGGGGTTTAGGGTTTAGGGTTTAGGGTTTTAAGTTTTAGGGTTTTAAGCTTCAGGGTTTTAAGTTTTAAGTGTTAGGGTTTTAAGCTTTAGGGTTTTAAGCTCTAGGGTTTTACGCTCTAGGGTTGGGGGTTTAGGGTTGGGGGTTTAGGGTTGGGGGTTTAGGGTTGGGGGGTTTAGGTTTGGGGGTTTAGGGTTGGGGGTTTAGGGTTGGGGGTTTAGGGTTGGGGGCTTAGGGTTGGGGGCTTAGGGTTGGGGGTTTAGGGTTGAGGGTATAGGGTTGGGGGTTTAGGGTTTTAAGCTTTAGGGTTTTAAGTTTTAGGGTTTTAAGTTTTAGGGTTTCAAGTTTTAGGGTTTTAAGCTTCAGGGTTTTAAGCTTTAGGGTTTTAAGCTTCAGGGTTTGCTCCCACAGTTGCGTGGCGACTGTGTCTGCGAGCCGTCGCGCGAGGACTACTCATAAGCGTCGTAGACCGGTTGATGATTGCTATGACATGCTCTGTCTTTACATCTCTGTTGTGATTTTTCCACCCGCTCTCTCTCGACGTCAAATCATGAGTACAACATATGAAAGCAGTCTTGTGGCTTTGTCTCATGTGCCTTTCCATGGCCCTGAGGTTGCCCATCGTCTGTCGGGTTTAGGGTTTAGGGGATGCCAACCTGACCCCAGGAGTCTGGCATTGAGAGGGGGTTACTTGGTGTTTAGGGTTTAGGGCTGCAAGCTCGGGTCCATCGCCGCCGGGCTAAAAATTCCATTACCAATGCTACTGAAAAGTTACTGAACCCTTCTACCCAGAATCCCCACATAACTTTCGAACATAACCCTAAACCCTAAACCCTAAACCCTAAATGCCCGATTTCGTCGCCCAGGTCCTCCTCGCCGTCCGCCAGGCTTGGCAGGCCGATCTGCACTTTATATGGGGTTCAGGGTCTGGGCTTTGGAGTGCTATACTTCAAGACTTTTTTTGGTTATGGGTTCCTATTATAGCTACTTATGCCTAAAAAGTATATACCTTTTTTTCCAGGGGTTACTCCAGAGTAGGGGGGTGGACCTAAGCTTTGTGACGCTTTACTGTATCTTTAGATCCTTAGCCTTTTCGGGTTTATTGGGTTTCTTAGTAAGGCAGCTAGAAATTTGATTTATAACTACCCTCCTAAGTGCAGCCAAGTAGGGTTAGGGTTCGGGGTCTCAGGTTCGGAGTTTGGGGTTTGGCATGCGGCCCCTTGCAGGGAAGGTAACCGCAGAAACAACCCAAGTCTGAACTCTCGGAGTCGGAATGACGTCGGGCCCCCCATGCAAAATCCTGACTCTGAGGGGCGTCTGCTGAAGCCCGAACCCCCTGGGTGCAGGCAGCCTCCTTTGCCCTTGGCCCGGCTCGGCGAGACCGCACGGTGCCCTCCTGCAAAGAACTTGGTACCTTCAGGGAGTTGAGCCGCTGTATTCTCTTTTGAAGGTAGGTCGTCGAGTGTAGGGCTCGTGACGCACACGACGCGGAAGAGACACTGAACAGCAACAAGTATCCCAGGTGCTTCTGGCTGCTGGTCGCTTGCCCCGCTCACGCTCCAGGTGCAGTTCGGCTCGCCAGAATACACCTCAAGCTGCCTTTTGAGTACGATCAACCCCTTAAGACTTAAGACCCAAAGGTTACCTTCCTTCTGGTTGCTCCATGCGTGCTCAGTTGACTAGCGTTTCTGACGAGTTGGTAGTCGAAAAGGCGAGGGGCAGGGAAAGAGAGGGCACGTCACTTTTCGGTCTGTCCAGCCAGGGAGAGGCAACGACCATGCAGACGGCTGTTGCCAGGTCGCCCTGCGGTCGAAGATGCATGACGCACGCGTGACTCATCTTCGGGCGATGGGAGTGTGAAGCAGAGCCTCCAGCACCTTCGCCAGTAAAAGTGCGGTGCTTGTGCTTGTTGCTTCTGCTTGTAGCTTCTGCTTGTGGCAAGCTGGTGGTCAAGAATGCCGAAGCCATGCATCATCGTCTCACATCATCTGGGCCACCCGATGTTCTAAGTACAATCGTTTGGAAATGACCGCCGGTGAAATTCAGTGGCCAATCAGGTAGTCCACTTTCTGAACTTTCCCCGCACTGTGTTGCCGAGCCCTGAAGCAAGTAAGCTGTGTGCTCAAACAAAAAACTGTTTCCCGAAGGCGTTGGACGTCGAAGACCAACAGTGGCTGATGCAGGAGCATTTGCTTGGCAGGGGGAGAGTCAGGACACGCATGACGTGAACGCTAAAACCTAAACCTTCTAAACCCTAAAAACCCTAAACCCTAAGCCCCAAGCCCTAAACCCTAAACCCTAAACCCTAGACCCTAGACCCTAAACCCTAAACCCTAAACCCTAAACCCTAAACCCTAAACCCTAAACCCTAAACCCTAAACCCTAAACCCTAAACCCTAAACCCTAAACCCTAAACCCTAAACCCTAAACCCTAAACCCAACCTCTGGTTGCAGAGCTTCAAGGCCAGGCCTTTGGTGCTCGACTCGCCTTTCCCCCCAGCCAGGCTCTTGGCCACACTGCTTTTTGTCACTGCACCCTAAACCCTATCCCTAAACCCTAAACCCTAAACCCTAAACGCTAAACCCTGAACCCTGAACCCTGAACCCTGAACCCTAAACCCTAAACCCTACTCTGTGCAGCTGCAGCCAACATCCCTTGGGTGGCTCTGTCCAGCTCCGCGCCTTCCGACCCCCACACCCTTCATGACCCTTGCAGCCTTGAGTCATCTGGGTTTAGGGTTTAGGTTTAGGGTTTCGGGTTTAGCGTTTAGGGTTTAGGGTTTAGGGTTGTCCCAGTTGTCCCCTCTTACTTATTCAAAAACAAACCTAATTTTCCACCTCACATAAACGGGACCTGCGAAGAAACGCATACAGCTACATTGGCAAGTCTCGGGCTCTCACCCGCCTCAACCCTCAACCCAGTGAAATTCATAGTATATCATGTGTATGTTTCGTGTTCTTATGATTATTCTTCTTATTATTATCGTAATTCGTACTATGATTGAACCCTGTAAACCCTAGTTCGTGTCAACCCCCAAACCCCTCAAAGCCCTGAAGCAAACACCCTGCCATGTCGTTGCGGAGCCGTAGTCGGAGCCAAGATGCCCCAAGGCGCCAAGCTTCTTTTTTTTTTTAGCAGCTTAGGCGCAGTTCTTGTTTGATGTTTTTAGGTCGTCGCGTTTTCCCTCTATACCATCCGGAGGACAGGGAGACTCGCCAAGTAGTCCAAGTTCTCAAGTTTGCGGCCTATGGGAATTTTGGGGGTGAGACGGCGACAACTTCCGGGCTTCGACAATTTTGGGGTTCGGGAGAGTTTCAACTCGGATCAAGAGTTTGGCTTGTGGCTGAGAGGTTTAGGGTTTAGGGTTTAGGGTTTCGGGTTTAGGGTTTAGGGTTCAGGATTTAGGGTTTAGGGTTTTGTTGGTAAGGGAGGTCCTTAGTACCCGGCTGGCTTGTTGCAAAAGGGTTTTGTTGGTTTCTTGTTTGTCGAATCGTGCTGCATATGGCCTTCTGCCCAGGCAGGAAGGTCTTCTTGTGAGAGCCGCACCCTGAGATTCATCTAACATGAAGCCAGTGCGAGGAGAATTTAGGGTAGCATGGGCGTGGGTGCTGGGTCCATCCGGGTCCCAGCAACAGCGTCAGACTGAAGAAGCATCTCCTGCTAGCGACAACTCGTACTAGCAAATGTGTAGCCTTAGAGCTTGGGAGAATTTTGTGAGAGTTGAAGGGATTTGCGTTTAGGGTTAGGGTTTAGGGTTTTGGGCTCAGGGTCTAGGGTCTTGGGTTTTGGGTTTTGGGTTAGGGTTTAAGTCAGTATTTAAAATTTGTTTATTGGTGTGTCCTTGTCGTGATCCGACGGTGGATCAACCAGCTCTCTTCAAGGACTGGGCCGAGCAAACAGGTGTGCAAACTATGGGGGGTCTACGAAAATAAGGGACCCTGAAAATAGCGCCCGAATCGTAAAACTCCCTTTAAATAAGGACCCCAATAGGGCAACCCTTAATTTCGGAAACCCCTATACAAATACTGGTTGAGTACTTGCCGGGATGTGTTCAGAGGTGTCTGCGCTCTCGGGCAGCCTGCTTCTGGAGCGGCGAGACGCGGCCGCAAGAGCTTGAGCAAGACGTGGCCCAGAAGGGAATTAGGGTTTAGGGTGTAGGGTTTAGGGTTTAGGGTTTAATGTTTCACTTTCGCAAGTTGTACAGCCCCAAACGGACGGAGCGAGTGGGAGCGGCGTCTTGAATGCTGAGCAGGGGGTAAGTGTCAAGCAAGGGTTCCGGAAGGAGGTTGAAAGGATCATGAAGAAACCTGAGGGCGGAGTGTGAAGGAATAGACTAGAAACTAGAATATCTTCCGCCTTCGTATACCGACAGTGTCATTGCTGCACTCCACTCCTGATCAGGATTCTCCAAAGATGAGGTCATCGCCAAAGTCCGGGAGACGGTTCAACAAGAGGCGCGTCTCTGCTTTTCTGGAAGACGTGCCTCCCTTCAATGATAATGTCTGCGCGTGTTGTCAAAATCCCTAAGGAGCCACAAGGAGCCACAGGCTCCCCCCCCCCCAAGAAAAAAGAAATATATACATATATATATATATACATATACATATATATATACATACTCCTTGAACCACAAAATTGTCCGGAATCGTCCGTAAGTGTTTTTTTCCTCACTAGCTACCTGTCGTACGGCCCTAGTTCGGGAACTTTAAGCTGCTTGGAATTTCAGTCGCGTTGTTCATCACATTCACACCTTGCTTCAAGACATGCCTCTTAGTGCATCCTTTACCCTCGCAGACCGTGATCAGATGCACGCTACACCACCAGAATGATGAAGAAGAGGGCGCCTTCTTTAGGGGTTTAGGGTTTAGGGTTTAGGGTTTTCTTCAACGTGCTCCCCTTTGCAGCAGCGACCTTTAGCCCAGTTTGGGGAGACATTGTCCTGCAAAATGGCAGGCCAAAGAGCCTCTGACCCAGCTAAAGCTCATCCAGGCGCGCAGGCATCACGTGGCAGTTGATGGTTCTAGATTCTAGGGTTTGGATGTGTTACTGTGTTTAAGGGTTTATAGGGCAATCCTGCTTGCAGTCTGACTGAAAAGAGAGGTGCCCCCTATCCCTAAACCCGAGAAAACTTGGATCGTAACCCTAAACCCTAAACCCTAAACCGTAAACCCTAAACCCTAAACCCTAAACCCTGCCAGGAGAAGGGGGACAAGGAACTCCCCGAGGCGAATGGGCTTCGCCCGAACACCAACCTGCCAACTTGATTGTCTTGGGGGTTTAGGGGGTTGAGGGGCGTTTAGGGTTTAGGGTTTAGGGTTTGGGGTTTGGGGTTTAGGGGTTCGGGCAACGGGCAATCTGCGTTGAGGGTTCAGAGTTCGGGACCCTAAACGCTAAACCCTGAACCCTGAACCCTAAACCGGATCTCCCTGGGTGCATTCGTTGCTGTTTTTGCTTTTCCGGCCTGGAGCTCTTCTGCCGAAAGGAGTTCTTAGATGGCATCGCGGTCTTGCGTTCGCCATGAGCATTTGGCGGAACTGCCATTCTTCACTACGTGGTTCTTCTAGAACCCTAGACGCAAAACCAGAAGCCCTAGGCCCTAAACCCTAAACCCAGGATGCCTCTTCATGTTGGGTAGCTGGGTAGCGGTGGCAAGTTGCCAGACACACAGAAGTTATGTGCCATGAAACCCCCGCCGCTGCTGTAGAAACAAACCTCGCTTGCTTACCCTCTTTAGGGTTTAGGGTTTAGGCTTAGGGTTTAGGTTTTAGGGTTTAGGTCTACTTGAAGGTTCATGGGTAATTGTAAGTAGGGTGATATAGGTTACCCTACTTATAACCCCACATATAACTACTCATGCACCTCCAAGTACTGCTTCTGCACACACCAGTAAGGCTGCTAGCATAGTGACTGGTGGGGTTAGGGCCGAATGATAATCTGTTATGCTTCAGGCGGTGGTTCGTTGAGCGATCTAGCGAGAGAGAGAGAGAGAGCGAGAGACAGAGAGAGAGAGAGAGAGAGAGTGTGTGTGTGTGTGTGAGTGTATGTGAATCCGAACTACCCATCCGCGGCCGCACCTTGTTGCCCCGGCCTGGTGCTCCAACGTTTTTTCTCTTTCTGCGGAAAGCTTGTTCAGATCTAAGCCCGGCAATCTCACGCGGGGTGATTGTGATCAGGAGAAGTTGCAATATTAATCAGCAAGCCACACCCTGGATCTAAAGCGGCAGCCAGCCTTCAGTTGTCAGTACAGTGCCCGGACTGGGTGTGTTGCATGAGCCTGGCGCAGGGCGCGCGTCTCGATGAGCTGCCGCTCAACAACAAAGGCCGATCGACGTCCTTACATTCGAGTGTCATGCAAGCACACAGCAGCACAGACATATCCCACCACAGCACTGCTAGCCCGGCTAGCCCTAAAGACAGACCGGAGCCTACTCCACAAGTGCAGACCACCGACAATTGCTGCAGAGGCTTTCTGGACCTCACAGCGCTGCGCACCCCTGCGCACTGTGCCCTCGTCGGCTTCGGCGATGGAACCCTGTCACCTGTCATGTCTTGTGAGGACCCAGGAGGACTTCAATTTCAGCACTTGGGGCCTGCGTCGCACAAGCAAATTAAAACTCTGCATCGCAACGTCTCCTTCTTTCTTCTCTCTCGCTCTCTCCCTCTCTCTCTCTCTCTCCCTCGCGTTTCCTTCACTTCCATCCTTCCGTCCTTCCTTCCTTCTTTAGTCGTTTTTTCTTTCTCTCTCTCTCTCTCTCTGTTGCTCTGGCTGTCTCCCTTCACTTTGTGTCACCCTCTTTGGCTTTGGCTTCTCCCACATCACACATGACCGGGGCGCAGGCACCCTGACTTAGAGAACTACCCTCATGGAGGGCTTACAAGGGGCTTTGAGCCCCTTGTAGCCCTAGAAACCCTAAACCCGAAACCTTCAACCCTGGGGCTTTAAGCCCCTGCTTGCCTTAAACCCGATACTTTGAAGGGTTTTGCCCCTTTTTGCCAAAATGACTCAAAACCTTAAACACTAAACCCGAAAATATGCGGGAGCGAAACCCGAAACTCTCAACCCTTGGCATCTCTGCATGAGCCGAGGCGCCTCTGGGACCTCGAGCGCGGCGCCTTGGGCTTTGGTGAGTGGAGAGGGCGGGTTTAGGGTTTAGGGTTTAGGGTTTAGGGGTAGAGTTTAGGGTTCAGGGAGGGTTGAGGGTTTAAGGTTTAGGGCTTAGGGTTCCTAATATGCTCGTTTGGCCTCTCGAATCTCGAAGCCACCTTCAGGTTGCCGGTGCGGGATGTAGGGTTTAGGGTTCAGGGTTTAGGGTTTATGGTTTAGGGTTTAGGGTGTGGGTTTCAGGTTTAGGCGTTACAGGGTAGCCCGCACTAGGGTGCATGAGAGCTTTCAGGACTTCGTGGATTTTACGGTGCAGCGCGTTCCTGAGTGTTGAAAGCCAGTCGCTGACTGCTTCTGGACGAATCTTGACCAACTAGGCCCGACCTGCGAGCCATGAAGGTGTGCCTGTGTGTTGTCCTGTACTTTAAAATCTTACACAACAAAGCCCCAGCACGGGCCAGAATCGAAACTATTCAGGTTCGGCCTTGGTTTAGGGGCAGTTCCGGGGCAACGTTGCTTGCCCGCCGCCTTTGTCTCTGCCACTGCAACTCCTGCTCAGGGGCTTTGGCGCGCAACCTTCTTCCCGCCGGCCCGGCGGTATCAGGCCGGACAGTGTCTTGAATCCGGCATTTCGGAACCTTGGATCTGGGTGTTGCTGCTCAGGCGTGTCAGGTATCTTCCGGGACTGGCACTGCGGTTCAGTTAGTGGGCTTGCAGGGAGTTCAGCTGTTTTGTTCTAAGGTTCTTTTTAACCATGTAGTACATAGTTATACTATACTAACCCCCAAAACCTTGGTTCTAAGGTTCTTTATAACCATGTAATACAGTAAATAGTTATACTATACTAACCCCGAAAACCCTAAACCCTAAACCCTAAACCCTATTCTAATGAATAAGGCCCATATAGTTTCCGAAACAACGTCGTCAGAGGCAAAGCTGGCCTGGAGGATGTGCGTGTGCGGAAGCCCTAATTAACTTCCTAACCCGATGTTCTTGAAACCCTAAACCCTAAACCATAAACCCTAAACCCTAAACCCTAACCCCTAAACCCTAAACCCTAAACCCTAACAACGTCGGCCCTATCGCTGGTAAACCTACGAGGGCCCTCCAGCGAGGCCTCGAGGTGGACTGGGAGGGCCGACGAGCTCTCTCGGGACAGCACTGGTTCTTCCACTTCGGGGTTTAGGGTTTAGGGCTTCGGGTTTAGGGTTTAGGGTTTAGGGTTTAGAGTCACCATAGCATACAGTGTCACTGGGGCCGAGAAGCTGAGTCGCCTGCTCTAGTCCTTCTGTCAAGAGTGCAGGGGGATTGGGAGCCTTGCTGTCACGAGTACGGGGGGCTTGCAGGGCGGGCGAAGTCTCTTGGAAAAGGGTCACCATAGCATTTCAGTCACGATGTGATCCGATGCATCCGTGAGGAGACATGAACCACAACGTTCGGCACTGGGATCTGGAGGAGGGTCGCTGCAGCGTGGCTGCACCAGTGCACACTTCAGTTAAAGCTGTCGTAGTCCTGATATTTTACATTTAGTATGTTTATTTTTTATTTTAGATATATGATGTCAGAGCGCGCCAGAGTACCTCGATGTATTATGGCGATGGGTTCGTCGCGGCCGAAATTCGGGCCCCTCCTTCAAGCAAACCTGTCTACTGGCGAAGCATACCGTTGCCTAATGGCTATCCGGACCTGGCCGAAGTCGGAGCCTAGGCTTACACTGCCTTACCGGCCATTTGGGCATCATCAACGGCGCTTGGAGCCAAGGACTTTTCAGACTTGCTCATGTTTTGACGGGCTTCCGGCTCCTGAGCCTGTAACATGACACTTGAATTGAGAAGTCATGGGTACTTCGAGCGGGAGATACATGCAGGTAAGGTAACTAATTAGAGTTGTAATCGGTCAGTACTTTACGCTCTTTTTGGGGACTCTGCCCTTACTTGGAAGCTCCCATGCGCCTGGGGCTGAAGATGGTTGAAGAGGGCGTTGTGTTCTGGGGGGGAGGTGGGTCTTGCAGATTCAGGGTTCGGGCGCGCTAATGGCTCTTCGTCTTGTTCTGCACATTACGTCTGCTATCTTGACTGCAAGTATAGTCTACTGCCCGGGTTTCTTGAGGAAGGCACCGTGCTTCCAAAGGGCCAGCAAGTGATAGCTACAAGGCTGGCGTGTTCTATGCGAATCAGTTTCAGTACCCGAGGCAAGTGCAAGGTTTCATGCAAACAACATGATGTTCTAAGATGCGGCTTCTCGGGCCCCTGAAATGTCGCAGCCCCCGTTTTTGTTTTGCTTGTCGAGCCCTGATCCCATCTAGGGTTTAGGGTTTCGGGTTTAGGTTTTAGGGTTTCGGGTTAGGGCTTGGTTCGGCCCTCAGAAATCTCAAACACTGAACGCTCAAAACCTCAGGTGTTGGTGGATTGGGAGCGCTCACAGGCTGCCACCTACGATCGCGCAGGTCATTCGGCCTTCGTAAAAAGGGAGGTAGCTCTTGAAACTGACCCCCTAAAGCTTCGAATTCTACACTGAGCTCCAAGAAGGGACATGGAAGATCTGGCCAGTGGTCCTTTGATGTATAGGGGTTGCGGGCCGCTGCTCCTCTGCTTGCTCCCACACAAGATGCAGCCTATTAGTCGGGAGTAAGATTACAAGATTGAGACCGACACAAAGTCAAGGACACCAAACCCAGGCCCCTGGACCACTTGTCTGCAGCCTCCTTGACCTTCCCAGGCCCATCCTTGCTGTCAGCACACAGGGTGCCACAAAACCTCAAACACCAGGTCACTGGGCTCGTGTTGCGGACGGTTCCCTCAAAATGATGGCCCCATTTGGGGGTTTACGATAATAGGGGACCCTAATCGAGACCCCCAAAGAGTAGGATTCCCTTACCGTAAGGACCCCAAGAACGTACCCCTAAAGCCTAAACCCTAAACCCTAATTCCGGAAACCCCCCATCTGGGTGCCCATTGGAGGCCTCTTCATCTTCTGGGACTTGGCTTGCGGCCGCGCCTCGCATACGAAGCCTGGCCGGCTGGTTTAGGGTTTAGGGTTTAGGGTTTAGGGTTTAGGGTTTAGGGTTTAGGGTTGGGGTTTAGGGTTAGGGTTTAGGGTTTAGGGTTTAGGGTTTAGGGTTTAGGGTTTAGGGTTTGGGTTTGGGGTTTAGGTTCGGGGCAAGACTACCACTACACAACTGACAAATATCATTCTATGGCAGTGTAATAACCAAGATGTTAATACAGGCATGTAGTTATATATATATGTGTGTGTATATATATAAGAAGCTCAGTTAGGGTTTTTGTTTTGGGATGGTTGCTCAAGGTGTTTCAGCCACGCCGTGGCTGTGCTCTAGGCTCCTGGAGGCTTTGTTTCTTGCTTGCCTGCGCTGTGCGCTTCAACTTTGGTTAAGCACCATCCCAGCTTCCAAAGACATACAGTTGCACTTGAAACAGGTGGTATCCTGAGGCATCAGGAACGCGGTGGAGGGTCCTCTCAAGAGCCCGGAATCTTATACTTCATGGCCCAGGGTCATGGTCCTGACTCATGTCTACTACCTGCCCGAAGAACTCCGAAAAAAACAGGCACCCTATATCTCCCTGCGTCACATCTCAGGATCCTTGCCCATGAAGGCGCGCTCACGGTCGTGTAGGATGGCCTAGTGGTAGCCATGCCCATTGACCCCAACGACTTTTCCAGGATCCTCGAAGACGGCTTTTGGGGTTGAGGGTGCAGGGTTTCGGGGTTTCGGCGGCGTCTTGAAGCGTCTTGCACAAGGGTTTAGGGCTTGACGCGTGCTGAAATGTTCCGCTGATAAACTCCTTTTCCGATCCTTTGCAGCAGAGGGCTTGTAGCCAAAGGGCTGACAATGTTGAACCGTGACGTGCCCCAGCTGAGGAGCTACAACATCCGGATGGCATTGGTTTTAGCCCAAAAAATGTATCACTGCTGCACACTCTAGGGCGTGGGGTTCCTGCAGAGGTCTAGGCCCAATACCGAGTAGGTGTGTGTGTGTGGTTAGCCATTGATTGAAACAGCTCGAGCAGCACGGCACGGGCGGAGGTGACTCTGCATTTGAGGGTAGCGGCTCGGTGCTTGTGTTGGCTGTGGTTGTCTTGCAGGCATGGTGCTTGATGCTGAAGTGGACTGGGGCGACACGGCTCGCAGTGAACCTTGGTGAGAACACAGGAAGCCCCAGCCGAAGCAACAGTGAATTCAAAGAGGCGCCCGAACTTGCACGCCCAGCCAACACAGCAAGCCACAGCACGTCTTTCTTTCAACCCTTAACAGCAAACCCTAAAGCCTAGAGCCTAAGCCCTAAACTCGTCGTCCATCTATGCGGGTGCCAAAAACAGCCGAAAACCCTATAATCCCTCTACCGTAAACTCTAAACCCTAGTAGGGCAACAGCAGGATGGCAGTCTAAGTTCCGAGGTCACAGTGGGGTCCGACTGCCGCATTGCGGCGTGGACTGCCGACCGGCAGGTGTGCAGCATCCGTTTACAAGGCCAGGGCCCTAAACCCTAAACCCTAAACCCTAAACCCTAAACCCTAAACCCTAAACTCTCTCTATCATATAATAATTTAAACCTTAATGGGGAACGTGGCCATTGGCAAAAAAACCGTGGCCATTGGCAAAAAAGCCGTGGCCATTGGCAAAAAAGCCGTGGCCATTGGCAAATTCGCCAATGGCCACGGGAAAGTTGCCAATGGCCACGGCTTTTTTGCCAATGGCCACCAATGTCATTAAGGTTGGTCGCCAAAATGGGTTTTTCAAACCCAATTCGCACAAAATGCCCCCCAACCTTAATGGGGAATGTGGCCATTGGCAAAAAAGCCGTGGCCATTGGCAAGTGGCATTTGCCAATGGCCACGGGAAAGTTGCCAATGGCCACGGCTTTTTTGCCAATGGCCACGGCTTTTTTGCCAATGGCCACGGCTTTTTTGCCAACGGCCACGGCTTTTTTTGCCAATGGCCACGGCAGTACCTCGGCTTTTTTCGATTTTTGCCCCCTCCCCCCACCCCCCCCCCCCCCCCCCCCCCCCCCCCCCCCCCCCCTACCCCCCCCACCCCCCCCCCCCCCCCCACCCCCCCCCCCCCCACCCCCCCCCCCCCCTCCCCCTTTCCCACCCCCCCCCCTCTTTCCCCCTCCCCCCCCCGCCCCCTCCCCCCTCCCCCCCCCTCCCCCCCTCCCTCTTCCGTCTTCTGGCCCAGACCCTCATTCTGGGCTTGAAAACCTGGGTCTGGGCCAGATCAAGATGCAGCCTTTGCGGGCCGGGCAATGCGGTAGCCCCTTCTCAGTCTTTCTCATCTTGAGTGGTGCGAGGGTGGGGTGGGGAAACTTCCGGACCCCCATTCTGGGGTTGGAAACCTGGATGAGGGCTTCGCAAACAACCAGTCAGGCAGCTTCCCCGCTTCCCCCCCACCCCACCCCTCCCCCACCCCGAGAACGAACGCAAGCAGAACGACGAGCAGAGAAATACGAGCAGAGAGGGAACGAATACGGGTAGTTGGTTCTAGGGTGGGTTGGGGATTGGCTCGAACTGGAATGGTTCGAGGGTGGGGTGGGGGAAAACAAAACATGAGGTTAACAAATTAGTTTTTTTGTCAATCCGGACCAACACTTTTGGTTCTACCTTCGGTCTGGGGAAAGCAAGCGCGAAGACAAGGGACATGCGACAAAGCCGACGAGCACGAAGGGAGGGGACATACGCCAAACCCTAAGAGCGCGAAGGGAAGGGACATGCGACGAATCTGTAGACCTTTCATCAAACCATACGAGCATGAAGGGAGGGGACATACGACAAACCCTACGAGCACGAAGGGAGGCATACGACAAACCCTAAGAGCACGAAGGAAGAGGGCCTACGACAAACCTGTAGACCTCCCGTCAAACCCTACGAGCACGAAGGGAGGGGACATACGACAAACCTCTAAAATAAACCCGTACATTTCTCAATGTTTTGGGATTCTCTGCAAGCAGAAGAAAAGGGACATACGACAAAGCCGACGAGCACGAAGGGAGGGGATAATTCTTGGGATTCTCCGCAAGCAGACAAAGAGGGACATACGACAAAGCCGACGAGCACGAAGGGAGGCGACATACGACAAAATCTAAGAGCACGAAGGGAGGGGACGTACGACAAACCTGTAGACCTCTCATCAAACCCTACGAGCATGAAGGGAGGGACATACGACAAACCCTACGAGCACGAAGAGAGGGGACATACGACAAACCTCTAGGCCTCTCATCAAACCCTACGAGCAGGAGCCAACATGAGGCGAGGTCACCGGGGCACTAATTGGAAAGCAACCATGTGGAAGCCAGGCAGCTTAAAGTGTGCCAAACACAACCAACAAGACGGCCAAAAATAGGCAGGGTCACCGGGGAAAACGAACACGAGCAAAGTGAATATGAGCAGAAAGAGAACGAATACGAGCAGACTGACGTCGAGCAGAGAGAGAACGAATACGAGCAGAATGAATACGAGCAGAAAGAGAATGAGTACGAGCAGACTCAGTACGAGCAGAAAGACAGCGAAAACGAGCGGACTGAAATCGAGCAGAGAGAGAACGAATACGTGCAGAAAAAGCACGAATACGAGCAGAAAGAGAACGAACACGAGCAAAATGAATATGAGCAGAAAGAGAACGAATACGAGCAGAATGATTACGAGCAGAGAGAGAACGAAGACGAGCAGACTGAAATCGAGCAGAGAGAGAGAACGAATACGAACAGAATGAATACGAGAAGAAAAACAACGAAAACGAGCGGACAGAAATCGATCAGAGAGAGAACGAATACGAGCAGAATGAATACGAGCAGAACGAGAACGAACACGAGACGAGCAGATCAGAAAAAGAACGAATACGAGCAGAATGAATACGAGCAGAAAGAAACGCACACGAGCAGAATGGAAACCAAGCAGAATGACAAAGAGCACGAGCAGAAAGAACAAATGAGATTGGAGGACAGGGCTTGCTGAGGAAAAATGTAAACTTTTTATTTCTTAATGTTTTGGGATTCTCTGGGTGGGTGGGTTTTTTTCAAGAGCCCAAACAGCGGCTCTACTAGAGATTGCTCGACCCGGAGCTGCTGAACCCTAAACCCTAAACCCTAAACCCTAAACCCTAAACCCTAAACCCTAAACCTCCCAAAAAGGGGCACAGGATGATTTCCATGTGTGCCTTTGATGCCCTCTCGGGGAGTCATGGGAATCTCGCGCATCATATGGCAAACCCTGAGCGCTAGCGGCGGGACGTGAGGTTAGCCGGAGATGTGACCGAAAAAAGTCAGGCCACCCTGCCAAGTCCGCGAAGGAATAGCAGCCGAAGCATGACCTGCCACCGATAGCGCAAGCAAATACCAAGTCAGAATTCGAAGGCAGACCACGCCTCCTGCTTCGTAGGTTAGTACGTGGGCAATGATAGGCAACTAAGGAGACCTAGGGTCACATAGGGGGGCGACATTCTTCCCCCGCATTAAATGTTATGTTTTCCCCACCTTCTATTGAGTAGTTTCGGTAGAAGCCCTAAACCCTAAACCCTGAAACCAACCAGGAGAGGATGGGGATCTCGATGACCTGGTGGATGGTGGCTTAGAAGTCCATTGGAAGACCAGCCGCCTTGTGACCTGCTGGCCACTCGGACCAGCGGAGTTTGGGGTCTTATTGGGTTTAGGGTTTACTTTGTGGTGCTTCACTGAACTTTAGATCCTGAGCCTTTTTGGGTTTACTCGGTTTCTTAATAAGGCAGCAAGAAACTCGATGAATACCTACCCTCCTAAGTGCAGCCAAGTCTAGGCCCAAAAGAAGTCCCTTGCTCAAAAACAAAAGGGTCTTTTGGGCCTTGGGCAAGTTGTGATATTGTTTTCGGCGCATGTGGGGGTTCACCGAAAGGTAAGGTCTGGCGGACTTTGGTGAGCGCTGAGTCGGGCGAGTCGGGCCACCAGATTGCTTCTGTAGGGTCGGGAAGTAGTTGAGGGGTCCTGGGTGTGACTCAACGAAGCCTACTACAACCCTAAACCCTAAATATCCCTAAACCCTACTAAGCCCTATCCCGACTCTACATACCCCGAAACCCTAAGTATCCTAAACCCTACTAAACCCTTAAAAACTCTGCCCTGAACTCCCTTGTGCTTTCTGAGTCCAGGGACCGTGCCGTGTGGGTCTGGGACTTAGCCACCGGCCGTACCCTCCACACGCTGCGCGCTCCTGCAGGCGATGGGGGTCTCGACTAACATATATACATACAGAAATATATATATATATATATATTTATTTATTTATTTATTTATATGGTATATATATATATATCGATGTGTATGTATATATATATAAGTATAATATATGTATATATATATATATATATATAATATAAGTATAGATATTGATTTTGATGTTGATGTCATGTTTGCGCATGTCGAGTTCTTAATCCGTCATCAGAATCTGATGCTAGCTGTTGATGTGATTCCTCTTGCCCACGATGTGTCTGTAGCACACAGACCCCCCTAAACCCTCGACCCGAAACCCTAAGGCCTAAACCCCTAAGCCCTAAACTCAGCCCTGGCCTCTAAGCCCTAAACCCTAAACCCTAAACCCTAAACCCTAAACCCCGAAGCCCTAAAAGCAGCATCGAGGCCTCAAAGACCAGCCGAGGCCTTGCATCCCGAGTCTTCATAGACCGGAAGAGCCCCCAAAGGCAGGGCCGAATAATATATATATATATATATATACATATATGTATATATATATATATGGTGCATATATATATATATGTGTGTATATATATGTATATGAATGTATGTATGTATGTATGCATGTATGTATGTATGTTTAATTACTTAATTAAAAGCAGGCAGCGTCAAAGGCTTCAACGTGGATTGGGACTCGTCGCGCTGTGCCCCTGGCTGATTGTCACAAGTTGCCCCCCCCTGAAATTTGCCATTGCAGCAACGTAGTCGTAGTCAAAACAATTTTAATACTTCTAGTCATTATGGTAATTATGGAAACTATGGTAACAATAACAAAAAAGAGGGCCCAATTTCGTGAAGCCTACTTGTAATCACTACCCATAAGCCCTGAAACCCTTGTGAGAGTCGAAGCCACAGAGAAAGCCACCGGGACACACCTCGCCCAGGGCACAGGAGGGCGGTTTAGGGCACTGTAGGGACCCAAAAGTGCAGTTGCAGTTTGCCGATGCTGGGTTCTATACAGCGTACTTGCTAGACTACTCTACTACATACTGTTCTAAGCTATCTACATACATACACGCATATACATCACCCCCCCCCCCCCCGATGAACCCACCTCGGCTTTTGAATCTATATATGTATAGATATATTGTATTTTATGTATTTATGAGTTTTTTGGTTTCATGTTCATGTCTGTCTGTTTGTATGCATGCATGTATGTATGTATATGTGTTGTGTCTACATGCGCTGGTAGGTTTGTTTGGGCGTGCAGTGCTGCGTAGAAGGCTTGCAGTTCGAACCATCTACTTAGATCCGAAGAAGTACCTGAAACCTTAAGCCCTTAAAACCCTTGAACCCTAAAACCCTAAACCCTAAACCCTTAAACCCTAAAACCCTTAAAACCCTTGAACCCTAAAACCCTAAAACCTAAGCCCTTAAACCCTAAGCACCCAGAGCTGGCACTGCAGAAGCCAGGCGTTGCATGGGTCTCCGGCGGCCAGTGCTTGCTCTGGTGCCTCCGAACGGGTCAGCTGCTGGAGAAGCTCATCGGGCCAACCTCCGCCCAAGCCTCAGAAGGGGGTTTAGGGTTTAGGGTTTAGGGTTTAGGGGCTTGCGGTCAAGATGTCTGTAAGCAAAATCAGTGTCGTGCTGCCCCGAAGCTCTAGCGAAGATTGCATGCTTCCCCCTTCCCTGCATTTCTTCAAGGACTGTCTGCAATGTAGCTCGTCTAGAAACATTCCCTTCGTTAAGAGTCCAGCCGTGTGAAATTGATGGCCAGGATCCCATGTCCCCCCCGCCCCCCCAGTCGTCCACAGAGGCGATCTGCGGACTGGCATGCTGCTGGGAGGAGGAGCGCCTTCTCAGTTTCGGTTCTGGGCCACTGTGCCTCTGGACTCCTTGGCAGCAGAAGCATGCTCCTCACAATCACTATGTTGCGGCATCGTAATCCGGTGCGAAGCCAGAGAGACCTCGAACTGAAACGGGAAACCGAAGTCTCCAATCAACAGCCTCCCGATGTCCTCGATCTATCCACCCAGACCACGCTTGCGCAGCTAATGATTGAAAGCTTGCCTTCAGTACCCATCGCACCCAAGTTCTCTCAAGGTATTTGCAGGTCTTAGGAACTTTAGTTTCCCCCACGAAGAGCCCAGAAGATTGATGAGGACATTAGCGCCCCGCGCTGTGCTGTCCGCGCAGCTGCGCGGACACACCAACGTCGTCGCAGGCGCTGAGGTCGGACACGGGCATGGGTTTAGGGTACAAACCCTAAACCCTAAACCCTAAACCCTAAACCCTAAACCCTAAACCCTAAACCCTAAACCCGGCTTACAAAGATGATTATGGAATTGTCGGTCTTGTTCTGCTGATGGAGCTAGATTCTTTCGAAGTACGGCTGCCTCGGCGAATCACGCCTGGTTGCTGACTGAGCTTCCGGTGGGTTTGCTTCAGCCGAGATGTTTCCGCACCTTTGCATATGGATTTCCAGATGTTTCAAAAATGCCGGCGCCGTGATCTTGAGAGGTTGAGAGAGCAGCTTGCATGATGATGTCCGCCCTATGGTCCCATGTTTTGGGCCCTGAAGCAAACCTTCAGAATCCTCAAAACCGGCAAGCAAGCGCTGGAGGGCCTGTGCGAATAAGGTGCGCCGAGGTTCCTGAAGACTTCCAGAGATCATTTACTCTTGCCTCAGCCGACTCTTTTATTCCCCCAAACGTTGGAAGGGGTTCCATTCTACAGGTTTTGATGGCCGGATTTGTGAGAATTAGGATCTTCAGCTATCTTTGATTTAAACGGCCGAGATAAGAGCAGCCAGGCGATAACGAAAACAGTCCTGTGCACCTAGGGCGACAGGGCTCTTGCAACCTCAAACCGGGCCCCGGATTGAAGATCGATGGTTCCTAGAACGATGTTTCCTGCAACCTTCTATTCGGCTTCCCACTTCGGCCTGATTTGAACTGGATCCCGGGTTCATGTTTCAGGGATCAATGCTTCCCAGTAAACTGTCCCGAACGTATGTACCAGTACCAATGGAGGCGGGTCAAGTTTTGAATCTAAACAGACGTCTCCCCCACCTCCAGACATCTGCCTGCATACTAGCTATCTTCAGACATCAGTGGCTGGGCCTGTAGCCCACATCGCCAGGGTACCTTGATGAACTTTGAAAAAAAACAGTTGTGATGCTGACAGACGAAGCACACGAAACAAGCCATTCCGCAACCTTTAGCCCTAAACCCTAAACCCTAAACCCATGGACACCCAATGCACAGGTTTCCTGGGAGGCAGATCGGGCGCTGAGCTGGGCAGATGATGCGACCTTGCGCCTTTGGGACCTCAAGGACCTGGGTCCAGATGCTCTAGGATCCCCTAAACCCGAAACCCTAAACCCTAAACCCTAAACCCTAGAAAGACCGTCAGCGACCTGCGGAGAACGGTTCGTCCAGCTGTGGGTTTAAGGTGGGTTCAAAGAGGGTTTAGGGTTTAGGGTTTGTAAGGGTTGCCTCCCGCCCCTGCTGGATACAGCTTTCATCGCAGCAAGGAGCACACGTGCTTGTTCTGCTTCCTTGGCCATGGGGGACCGGCAGCTCGGTGGACTTGGACGAGGGTTTTTTTTGGGTTAGGGTTTGGGGTTTGGGGTTTAGGGTTTAGGGTTCTCAGTTCCGTAGCCATTTTGCCTCAAGGCTTTGGCTACAAGACCCAAGTGAGTGAATGCCCCAATTAGCATCTTTGCCCTCAGTTAAAGTGGCGCAATGGTTCGGACACCGACGAGCTCCTTTCACGTCTCGGCTATGCTGTGAAACCCCGGGCTTCCTCACAAGTGGAGTAGTTGCGTAATTATGACAGCTATGGCTATGCTCATTGGCGATGAGGGCTCGACCCGAAGGCTACGTTCCGGGTGTGCAAAGCCCCGCTGCCCGAAAGCATTCTGTGCTTGCAGGAAGAGGCCCCAAACTGGCAGCTCGTCGTGCGCAAATTTGACGCCAGGGAGCGGTCAACATCTGGCTCAGATTGCTAACGGCCGAGCGGCTTGTGGTCAACCTGGGGTAGATCGACGCCAAGAAATCCAGCGTCTGTCCACGGCCGCTGTCTCACAATTAATGCTGTGTGTTGCGCCTTGTCAGCTTGCCACGCAAGCTTGGCTTGGCAAGTGTGAGATAAAGCGTAGGCAGGCAAGGAGGTCTGCGCCGGCCCCAGTCTCCTGTCATCACGCTGCAGATCGAGGAGAAGCTGGTTACCTGGAAGGACATTCAGAAACGGGCTGCCCGCGATGAGCGGGACTCCGTGCTGGCTGCTTCGTATCAACTCCGCCGAGCAGAAGCTATCGAAGAGGCGGAGCGCCATGTTACGCTTGCGGCACCCCAGCTAGCGGGTGCCCCACAGGCTCCGCCGAAACGACGACGAGTGGACCAAGGTTGTTTGTTATAGCATAGCACGCCCGGAGACGCATCCCGCTTGCGGATGTCCACAGATCTCAGTGAGTCTTGTCAGCTGGTCAAGCGCAGTGGCCAGAACACATGCCTTTTTTGGATTCTCCAAAAAATCAAGAGGGCCAAACATACAGTTCACATGTAGTTCGTGTTCACAGCGCACTGTAGCCTTTAGTTCGGCTGACTGAACCGTGGTCGGAGATACCTGCTAGCTATAGCTAGATTTGAAAACAAGACAGTACCCCCACAGCCAAAACCTGCGTTGCGCTTCATCCGGCTACCGGTAGCAAAAGCCGTAGACCCTAAAAAACTTAATTTTAAAATCCCAAGCCGTACACCCCTATATCAGTGCTTGTCGTTGCCTTGGCTGCTTGGCTTTTTCCAGGCACACACCCAGTCGGGCGCGTGTGTTTGCACTTTTGTCCCCCGGTGAGTCCAAACTCCCGGCACCGCGGCATATTTTTCTGCGTCGATGCTTCTCAATCTTGGCCCTTCTGAAATTTCGGGTGGCAGGCTGTTGCATTACAACTCGCTGCCGTCTCTGTGGTGCATCACGTGTTGTGTATATAGTTCTCATGGCGAGCTTGATGAGTCGTATCGCCTAGTGCGGATGCAGCGTCGCGGGGCGGGCAGCCGCTCGGAAGGGTCGCACAACTCATTCTAGGTGTGCCTGTTCTTGGGGTCGCACTCGCTTATTGCTTAGGCAAGCCTAGTGAGGGATTTTTGCTCCAGCCCGGTCTCGTTGGGTGTTGTCCCATGTTGTGTTGTCTACAGGTCTTGTTCTTGGTGTTGCATGGTGGCTTGTGCCTTCGTCGTAACTTTCCTCATGGTCGCTTTGTGCTATAGCAAGCTTGATGAGCATCTGGAGTGGCTGCGGCCGATTGCTTGCACGTTTCAACTAGTCGTCGTCGTCAAGCGCACGTACTTGATTCTCAGAAGGAACCAAGGAGGTTGTAAGGACGGGTGTTCCAAGGCCACATGCTCCGCAAATAGCCCTTTGAGGGAATATGTGAGCCCCGACACCCCCTCCCTTGACACGCGTCTGGTTTTTGAGAGATTGCCGGCATGGACATGCGCCTCCTCGCCTAAGTTCTGAGGGTCCCAAAAGACTTCAACGCCAATACCCTAAACTCTCATCCTCCAACCCGAAAGGCAAAGCCCTAGTGCTCCGTCGAGGTCTGGTCTGCGCAGGTGGACTGGGAAAGGGGCTTGGCGATGAGCTACAGAGCCCTGCCTGAGAGAGAGATTCAGGCAAGTTCAGTTAATGCAGGGCAGCCGTCCCTCGAAACCGTACAGAGTTTCAGAATTTCAAGGTTCCACCGTTCTCCCCGTGCCCTGAGTCTTTAGGGTGCTCAAGTACGGCTTCACAGGGTTTAGGGGCCGTTGAGGGACTGTTAGGGTGCCCCGGCATACTCATCCGGGCGACTTTGAACGCTTGCTTTCAAGCCGATGTGAACTCTAGAGCCCTCACTCACATCGAATTTCTCATAGCTACGAGACCCTTAACAACCGGTTCTACATATACAAAATAGTTTGACACACCAGTGCAGTTTATGACTTGTGTCGTACCGTACTGTAGCTCTCTAAATCAGGGTCCCTTTCAGGGTCCTTTTTAATTATAAGGGGCCATATGTTTTTAGGGGCCCAAAAAGGGAACCTAATGTAGAGAACTTCCCATTATACAAAATATGGCATCCCTAAACCCTAAACTCTAAACCCGCATGTGTCTCCAGCTCGCGCGAGGCTTTGCCCAGCGCAACTTGCTCCTCTGCAACTTGAAGACCGGCGATTCGTCGAAGCTTTCGTGGCGCAGTTTAGGTCTTAGGGCTTAGGGTTTAGGGCTAGCCCTGAAGCAAAAAGGGTTTAAGGTTTAGGGTTTGTGTAGAAGAGTTTAGGGCGTATGGCGTATAGGGTTTGGGGTTGAGCTGAGCTGTCTTAAAAACGAACTTGTACACAAGTGGTCAAATCCAATGCCAGGCCTTTGTGCCCTCTGCAAAGTGCAAAACCTGAAAGCTACGGTCAAGCTCTCAACCCTATAGAACCACCCTAAACCCTAAACTCCCAGCCGAACCGATCCTGAAGTGAAAGTGGCAAACCTGTCTGCATGGTTGCTTCCCTGCGCCCCGCAACTCCGCAGCCCGACCCTAAGTCCTATTAGTCCGAAGGCCCTAGAAGGAAACCCTCAGCCCCAAGAAAGCTTTAAACCCTGCACCCTGCAGAGGCTTGGGAAGGGGACGAGAGTTTAGGGTTTAGGATTTCGGGTTCGCCGGCAGTCAAGTCCGGTTTCAAAAAAGGATTTCGGGTGAGGGTTAAGGATTTAAGGGGTTTTAGGGGTGAGGGTATTCTGGCCCTTGGTTCCCTAAACCCTTTATTCAATCAGGTTTCCCTTTGCGGGCTCCTCGGCCTGGAGTGGTGGGGCAGAGGTGGACTTTTCACGCCGCTGGGAATGGCAAGTTTGGTACTCCCCACTCTATGACAGGCAGGTTTGCCCGGTTTAGGGCTTAGGGCTTAGGGGTTATGACGGATTTAGGGTTCCCAATCCATGCTTTCAAGCTCAAATCAGAACCTCGAAACCCTCGCAAACCAAAGAACACCGCAATGCGGCCTTCGTCCCACAATAGCCCATAAAAACTGCCTGCAAAAAATGCAGCTGTACTTAGGGTTCAACAGGTTTCGGGTTGAATGAGGGCAGGTGTAGGATCGCGGCCTCTGGATACCTCTAAGAGTGGCTTGGGTTCATGCTTATGCTGGCACCGCTCTCAGTCCATGCATCCAAAGGGTTTGAGAGGCGGCGCAGAAAGCGTGAT